GTGTTGTTGTCGCCGACTTCTTGCCTCTGCCGCCGTCGCAGTCGCAGTCGCTGTCGCTGCCGGGAACTGGATCTGGATCTGGATATTTGGGATTAAGTTTTTGTTTACTTTGAGGCGTTTTTTAGTTTGTTTGTTCACCTCAAGGAAGTCGGTTCGCTGGGCTCTCGCTCTCGAAATAATAAATAAAAAAAAAAAAGAAACAGAAAAACAGAGGCATCGCGGAATCGTTTGAGTGCTCGTAAATGGATTAAAACGAAATTTATCGCTTTATAGGCCGCATTAATCAAACGTCTTACAACAAGGCCCATAAAATGCCATATAAATAATAAACAAACTTCGTGCCAACGTGCAATAAAACATTTTTAAATTTGTTGCAATTAATCTGAATGCATTTGTGATACGCTCGTTTATTTATTTACACTTCCCACTGGCAACGACACCGTCAATATCAATTAACCATAGCCGCAGCGGCGAAATCGAACTTCATAATATATATCCAGATTGGATCCGAATCCGAATTGGAATCAGCTTCAACCTCAACTTGAACTGAGCTGCGTGCGTGGTCCATTAATCATTCTAAAACGAGCCGCAAATCGCGAATTATTTGGTCATAAATCATGGGCATCCTACTGAGTGATGGCGATGTAAGTTTAACTCACGTTTTTATCTCGATTCATTGTTCTCGTTTCCTGTAATAATATCGCCGAAAAGAAGCTTGGCTTCTTCTGTTTTTAGTAGAGAAACGAGCTTTAGAATTCCAGATCTTAAATCATAGAGGAAATAGTATTTTACGATGGTGATTAATATTTAATTGGGGAGTTCCTCTAGGAATATTAAAGTGACAAATTAGAAATAAGAAATGGGAGCCAAAGACATTTTTAAATTATTATTAGCAGACGCTTTTTTCAATATATTTTCATATTTATCTAAAACTTAATGCTATAAAATATTTCCCTTTCAATTTAAAAAATATAAATATTTACAAATAAGTTCCAATTCTCTCTTTTTCGGTCTAATTTTTTAATTCTACTTTGTTTTCCATACAAATACAAGATACAAATTACAAGAACATAATCTAATCGCTTTTTATCCCCCCGATCTCCTTAATTCAATTAACAAGTTGCACATCTTACACTTTAATCTTTAAGCCATAATATCAATGCATCCATTAGTTGTAGTAAAAGGATTTTTCTCTCCGATTGGATGGTTATTAAATGAGCCTTGACAGGCGGCAAAACTTAAATGGTTCCGACTTAGGATTAAGGAAAAACCAAATCCAAGCGGAAAATCATAACCACAGAGAAACCGCCTAGAGAGAGAGAGCTCAGTCTGGCGGAGATCAATGAATGAATGAGTCAAGTGGCCTCGAGTGGAGAGGACACTGAAGCGACGGCGACGGAGTTATGAAGCAAGGGAAAACAGGATCCTCCACTTGACGGTGGAGCGCCAGGCCGCGGGAAGTGGGAAAGGAAAGAAGAGAGAAACACTCAAAGCGCCGCTCATCCTCGACCACCACTTATCCCCTGCTCCGCCAGATCCCTGTTCTCCGGCTCCATCCTGCTCGGCCGTTCCCGCTCAAGTGGTTTTCTCTGTTTGTTTTTGTTCCTTCGCTTGCGGTGACAAATTATTAACGTATATGCAGGTATCGCTATCCTCTGCCCTCCACTTATGTGAAATTGATTTTTTATTGCTGTTTATTTCGATTCCTCGCCTCTCCGTGGACCTCTTCTTTTCGGCCGGCTTGTCCCTTTTTGGCTGATCGCTTTTTAATAAGCGCCAAAGCGCCCTCTCGGCCAGATCCGATCCCTCTGAAACTCTCATCCTTTCCTGCAGCTCGTTGACAATTTTTCGTGTGGTCGCCGCCTCCTTTGATCTCGCTCTTTGCCTCCGACTCCGACTCCCAGTTCAAATCCAGCTCTGCGCTCTCTTTGATCGAGTGATCTTCTAAGGGGAGCGACATCATTATGCACGCGTGGTCAGCTCAACCCTTTGATTTCTTGGGTCTGCTCCGCCGCCTGGCTTTCTGTCCCTTTCGCTCGCATGCCCCGCTGGAATTTGGGGAATTGCAGCCGAAATTGTTGCAATGATCTGCACTTACCCCTTCCGCCCTGCCCCTTGCCCAATTAATTTGTTTTGACAGCAGCGTGTTGAGTCTTAAATATTATTGCTCATACGTCACGTTGCACTCAATCAATCTGCTTAATATCTCATAATTTAGTGCCCTTTCGAATTTTGCTTTATTTTTAGGCCTTTGTTTAGCTTCGCATTATTAAAAATACTTAATAATTCATTAAATTTATATTTGTGTAACCAAATAAAGTGAAAAGCCATCACTTAATTTTGAGTCAAAATTTTTGACGTAATCCAATTTAATGTCTTTAAAAATATTCTGGATTTTATTGACATTGCTTTACTTTTAAAAATACTTTGCTTACGATTTTTTAAAAGTAATTAACTCATAAATCATTCATAAATATAGCAAAGAATTTAATACGTTGCTTACTTATAATGTAACTTTACTAATATCTACACACTATCTATACTTCAAAGACCAATTATTTTTAATTATTTCAAATATAAAAAATAATTACAACATAAAAATATAATATAATAATATTAAAAAATCGCTACAATCCTTATTTATTAGTATTATTTTACTTAACTATGACTTCATTTAACATTCATTTAGCTTGTCTTGAATTGCCGGCGGCTTTTTAATCCGCCGATCAATAACTTTGCCTTTATTTCCTGTCCGACAACTTAGCTACATTCGATTACGCTGAACTGCAAATTAAAAACTTTTTATTTCATAAATGCTGCCCAAACATTTCCATTCCTGATCCCCCGCCCCTTAAGTGGCCATCTGGTTACAAATGAAATTTATTCGAGGCTCCCTTGGGGCAAACCCAAGGGAGGGAAGGCAGAAAAATTAAAAATTTCATACATCATCGCATTAAATTTGTGGGATAAGATAAAGACGTCAAATGTTTTCCCTCTTTTTATACCCTTGCAGGGTATTATAATTTCAGTCAGAAGTTTGCAACGCAGTGAAGGAGACGTTTCCGACCCTATAAAGTATATATATTCTTGATCAGCATCAACAGCCGAGTCGATCTAGCCATGTCCGTCTGTCCGTCTGTCCGTCTGTCCGTCCGTCTGTCCGTCCGTCCGTCCGTCTGTCCGTTTCTACGCAAACTAGTCCCTCAGTTTTAAAGCTATCTGAATGAAACTTTGCATATAGTCTTCTATATACTCTCACTGCTATATATGTCGGAACGGGCCGGATCGGACGACTATATCATATAGCTCCCATACAAATGTTCGATAAATTTTTAGAAAAAAATTATATCTTGGCTGTTTTTCAATATTTTTGCATAATTTTTGAGACATAGCCATTTTATATCATTTCAGAATTTTGGTAAAAATTTTATGAAAATCGGACGACTATATCTTATAGCTGCCATAGGAACGATCGGGAAATTAATAGGAAAAAAATTATAACTTCGTTTTTTTTCAACATATTCTTATCTACTTTTAGATATAAGCTTTTTTTATTATTTCAGAATTTTGGTAAAAATTTTATGAAAATCGGACAACTATATCATATAGCTGCCATATAAACGATCGGTAAATGTAGAGAAAATATAAAGCTGGGAATGTAAAACTGTAACTGTCAAACTGTAAACATAATAAGTATAGGTAAAATGTAATGAAACTCTGTTTTGTGTGTGTTTTCAGCATTTAAATCTATAATATAAACATCAAAACCAATCTGCAAGGGTATACAAACTTCGGCGTGCCGAAGTTAGCTTCCTTTCTTGTTTTTTTTTACTTTGTGCTCAACTGTAAAGGCAATTTGAAAATATATTCGAAAATATCCGCATAAATAAAAATATGCAATTGGCGCCTTAATTGAAACCGATGTGAAGCACAGATTTCGATGATCGCTGTCGGGTTTAGGTTTTTTTTGTTCTTGTTTTTGCTTCTTTGGCTGTTGAACTTTTCAAGAAATACGAATAAAAAAATGGAATCAGAATAAATATATGGAGGGTAGTGGGGAGAAGCGATCAAAGCCACTTGAAGCATTTTCCCTCATTTGGTGCAAAAATGTTGAATGAACAATGAAAACGTTTTATGGAATACAAAGCAGAGTATGGAAAATGGGAAAAATAGTAAAGATGCTAATTGAAAGATGGCAAAAGAATAATTTTTTGTTAATTTTAAAATAAGCTGAAATCAACAGGTGAACCAACTGCATAAGATCAACCATTATAAACCTTTAAAAAATTATTATTTAAAATTCCTTAAGAATTTCTTTAATATTCTCTAACTCCAACTCTCTAACTCTAACTCTAATAATCGCCAATTAAAAGGCCTCCATTAAATTCCACTCAATTATAACATCCTTTTGAACCGGCTACCTTTATCTCTCCTCCATGGAAACGTATTCACGTACTTCCCCAATTAATAATGTCTGTATGAGTACCAAGTGCCCGCAAACGACACTTTATGGTTACGATTCCGCCTCCTCCTGTTCCTTCTCCTGCCTCCGTTTGGTTCCCCTTGCAGAGATCCAAGTGCCTACGCACCAGATAAGTGGGCTGTGGACCGAGAGATACAGATGCACAGACTCACGAATATCTCTGAGCAGCTCAAGACGCAGAGAGCGCCATTAAGTCGATCTGTTGACCGAAAGGGCGCAGCCTGGGAAAACTGGTTCTCTTCCCGGAGAAACTAGGGAAGGGGGGAAGAGGCCACGGTGCAGGGAAGAGGCAGGAGCTGCAGCCAGAAGTGAAACGAAAATGGCTGCCAGATGAGGGGAGTTGCCCAACAGCCACATCATCCAATGGCAGCAGCCGAAGGAGAGATAGGGAAATGGGAATGGGAAGAGGAGATGCGCTAGAGATGGGAGCTGAGTACAGGAAAAATCCCCTGCTTTATACCATTATTTACATATTGTAACAACAAACTTATTGGTAACCTTCTTCTCCTTTTCCCAGTCTACTTCGGATCAGCTATCAACGCGCGACTATCCCCAATTCAGCGGTGACCATCAGGTTGCCTCTGCTTCAGCCTCCGCCTCGGCTTCTGTCTCCGCTGCTGCCGCCGCAAAGATGTATCACAGCAGCGCCGTAGCGGCGTACACGGATCTCGCGGCCGCCGGGAGCGCTGCCAGCGCTGGCGTCGGAGTCGGAGTGTCGGGCTACCACCACCAGCAGGCCGTGAACGCTCCAGTGTATGTGCCCTCCAACCGCCAGTACAACCATGTGGCTGCCCACTTTGGTGGCGCTGCGGCGGCACCGAATGCCTGGACGACGGACACCTTTGGATCGGCGCATGCCCAGCTGCCGGCGCAGTTCTACACGCAGAACGTGATGATGGGCACCTGGCGTAGCGCCTATGACCCTACGGGCTTCCAGCGCTCTTCGCCCTACGAGAGCGCCATGGACTTCCAGTTCGGCGAGGGACGGGAGTGCGTCAACTGCGGCGCCATATCAACACCCCTGTGGCGTCGGGATGGCACCGGGCACTACCTGTGCAACGCCTGCGGTCTGTACCACAAGATGAACGGGATGAACCGGCCGCTGATCAAGCCCAGCAAGCGCCTGGTGAGTGCAGTGAGTACAACCCCCAAAAATAGCTTCAGTTTCCGTTTCTAATCTAAGACCTCCTCCTCCAGACTGCCACCAGGAGACTGGGCCTGAGCTGCACCAACTGCGGCACCCGCACCACCACCCTCTGGAGACGAAATAACGACGGCGAGCCGGTGTGCAATGCCTGCGGGCTGTACTACAAGCTGCACGGGGTCAACAGACCACTAGCCATGCGCAAAGATGGCATCCAAACGCGGAAGCGGAAGCCCAAGAAGACGGGCAGTGGCTCGGCGACAGGAGCGGGAACGGGCTCGGGATCAAGCTCCACCCTGGAATCCATCAAGGAGTGCAAGGAAGAGCACGGTAAGTGGTACAGATCTCCCTGTCCTGGTGAATAAAGTCCCTAATCAATACTTTTCTTTCCTAAGCAGATCTCAAGCCATCTCTAAGTTTAGAGCGTCACGGCCTCGGCAAGCTACACACGGATCTGAAAAGTAGCTCCGGCGCTTCCAGCCTGCTTGGCCAGCACCATTCCCAACAGCAGCAGTCGGGGCACCAGCAACAGCAACAACAGGCGGTTCACCAGCAGCAGCAGCAGGCGGGAGGACACCAGCAATGCTTTCCACACTACGGACAGGCGGCGACGCAGCAGCAGGCGCAGCACCAACAGCACGGACATGGCATGACCCCATCCTCCGGCCAGTCGCAGCTGAGTGCCCGACAGCTCCACGGAGCGACCGGGGCGCAGCTCTACACGCCCGGCAGCAGCTCGGGTGGAGGCAGTGCATCGGCTTACACCTCGCATAGTGCCGAGACGCCGGCGCTGAGCAATGGCACTCCCTCGCCGCATTACCAGCACCACCATCACCTAGGTGGATCCCATAGTCACCATGTAACGGCGGCGGCGCATCATCATCTGCACGCCGCCGCTGCGGCAGCCGCCTACGGGGTGAAGACGGAGGCCAGTGCCACCAACTATGACTACGTGAACAACTGCTACTTTGGCGGATCCTTTGGGGCACTCGGAGGAGCAGCTTCGTCAGCCGCCATGGCGGGCGGAGCGGCCAGCGAGTTGGCCGGCTATCATCACCAGCACAACGTCATCCAGGCGGCGAAACTGATGGCCACCTCGTAAGGACAGACGGCCGGGCATTTGGACATGTGGATACCGGCTCCCTGATGTGATCTCCCTCCTCCGCACCCACTGCACCCTACCTTGAAGCCTTCATTGGAATCACCGCATTGAAAAGACTTTAGACCTTAGTCTCCCTTGGGCCCTCGTCGCTGTACCATTTTCATCCAAGTTAAATCGGAAATAATACTTTATATTGGATAGAAATGGAAGGGCTTAACAGGGTTAGTAGGTTAATACCTGCCACTTAATTAGTATCTGGCACTTAATTTTAAAGTCCTGTAAATAACTATATAGCAATTCTCGTTGTACAAATCTACTATATGTATGTGCTTATCGCTGGAGATGTTCGTGTATGTGTAAAGATATTGTTTATCCCTTTGTTTATGCCTAAGCTGTGCGTAGTTCTTTATCATAACTCTTGTTCAATTAGTCTAAATATTCCATGTGTACTCCGCACTTCCCCACCCAACACTTTCATAGACCATTTAGCACTAGGATTTATTGCTAGAATAGTATTATTATAACTCTTTAACTCTTTCTTTAAAGACCCATGCTACGAGTAAATAAAGATTATATACAACAAATGGAGCATTATGCATTATTTAATGTGTTTAAATTGTTTTAATCCCGAAACTGATACCATACATAATTTGATAGAATTGAAAACTTTACGTTAACTCTAACTAGACATTAAAAATAAGAGCTTTAGCGTCTTAAAAGATTGTCTTAAGAAGTAAATTATTTATTATATCATTGCAGGCTGTTGTTATTTTGGTCAGAAGCTGGCAACGGAGAGAAAGACCCTATAAATCATATATATTTTGTATCGCTCTAAGCAGGCGAGTCTTTTTCAAAATTTATTAAGGGGTTAAATCGTTAAAATTCTCAAAATTTGTCAAAAATTAGATTTCTTTAAACTTAAAATTCAGTATTTATTTTAAAACCGTGGAAATTATTTTTTAATAGCTTAACTTTTCATATATTTAAAACATTATTTAAAGAATATCTGTCTACTTGGTTTTTATACCCTTGCAGGGTATTATAATTTCAGTAAGAAGTTTGCAATGCAGTGAAGGAGACGTTTCCGACCCTATAAAGTATATATATTCTTGATCAGCATTAACAGGGGAATCTTTCTAGATATGTCAGGAAGAAATCGATTTTTTAGCCATTTTTGCAAAATTTTATAAGGGGTGTTACATCATTCAAATTTTTGATTTTCATAAAAAATTGAATTTTCAAAATTTTAAATGAATGAATTAAATGAAGTATGCAGATTTATTAACTGTAGAAAATCTTGAAACAGAACCGATTTTAAATTAATGCTCTTTTGGCGGAGTTATGATATTTTTAATTTAAAAAAATCAAGAAGTTTTTATACCCTTGCAGGGTATTATAATTTCAGTCAGAAGTTTGCAACCTTTCCCACCCTATAAAGTAATTTTATATAATTTTAGGATTGTCAGAGATGAAGCTGGAGGAACGAGCAGATGGCTGGACAGACCTCAACCGGATGGCAGTGGAGGACGGTGATCGGATCTTGGCTCCGGGCTATATGAAAGCCTGCAGAAGGCGTAAATAATTAAAATATTTATAAATACAATTTAAATATGTAAATGTAATTGATGGAACACACAAATATGAATCAATAAAAGATGGTGAATTCAATGTGCAATTGTTTGGTAAAGGCGGCATTTGTTTGGGATCGTTTGGGGAAAAATCTAATTATTTTGAAAGCCAAATCTAAATTTTTAATTTTTTTTCTGAATTTTAAACATTTTTTTCGGATGTCTAACAATTTTTCTAAATTAAAAATTTTTTTCTAAATATTTTAATCTTTTCTGAATTCTTAAAATTTTGCCTGAATTTTTAAATTTTTTTTCAGATTTTTTATATTTTTTAGATTTTTTTTTTAGAATTTGTTACATTTTTTTTAATGTAACTGCCAAATTTGAATTTGAATTTAACTGTCAAATTTGAATTGAACGACGATCAGTTTCAGTGTGCCCAGGTGCAGTTGTTAAATAACACCTAAATATAGATTCAAAAGGTTTGAGTCTCCGCTAACTTGCGCCGGCTCATAAATGGTTTGAAACTCGGACTTTTTATAACAGTTTATACCAGTTTTCAGTTGCTTGCTGCTGGTTTCTGTTCGCCTGGTACCCCAATTTGGGAAACGGGCAATTTGCATGGAAATGTTCGAAAATTTGGATGGGCTGCTGTAGGGATGTTGTTGTAAAAAGGTTGTTGTTGCCATCAAGCTGTTGTTGTCGGCAACAAATAGGTATAAATGCATAAAATGAAATATAACAGTTTATACCAATGATTATTTTTGCCTAAATGTTTTTATAACAGTTTATACCAGTTTTCAGTTGCTTGCTGCTGGTTTCTGTTCGCCTGTTACCCCAGTTTGGAAAGCGGAATGAAAGTTTTGCTCACTTCCATCAGTGATGCTCACTTCCATCAGTGATGCTCACTTCCATCAGTGATGCTCACTTCCATCAGTGATGCTCACTTCCATCAGTGATGCTCACTTCCATCAGTGATGCTCACTTCCAACAGTGATGCTCACTTCCATCAGTGATGCTCACTTCCTTCAGTGATGCTCACTTCCAACAGTGATGCTCACTTCCAACAGTGATGCTCACTTCCAACAGTGATGCTCACTTCCAACAGTGATGCTCACTTCCAACAGTGATGCTCACTTCCAACAGTGATGCTCACTTCCAACAGTGATGCTCACATCCATCAGTGATGCTCACTTCCATCAGTGATGCTCACTTCCATCAGTGATGCTCACTTCCATCAGTGATGCTCACTTCCATCGGTGATGCTCACTTCCATCAGTGATGCTCATCACTGGCAGCTAGTGAGATGCAATTTTCTACCAATAATGCAAAAAAATAGCTAGATGAGCATCACTGATGCGCATGCGCATCACTGACATTAAGCCCGACTTTATTGACCTCCAATATTGAAATATAGCCAGATGAGCATCACTGATGCAGATGAGCATCACTCATGCAAGTGAGCAAAAATTTCCATGCAAATTGCCCGTTGTCCAAATTGGGGTACCAGGCGAACAGAAATCAGCAGCAAGCGACTGAAAACTGTTATAAAAAGTCCAAGTTTCAAACCATTTAGGAGCCGGCGCAAGTTAGCGGAGACTCAAACCCTTTGAATCCATATTTAGGTATTATTTTACTACTGCACCTGGGCACACTGAAACTGATCGTCGTTAAATTCAAATTTGACAGGTAAATTCAAATTCAAATTTGGCAGTTACAACATTTAAAAAAATTTAACAAATTCTAAAAAAAAATTCTAAAAAATATAAAAAATCTGAAAAAAAAATTTAAAAATGACTCCTTCACTGGGAAATCAACTTCTGACTGAAAGTATGCTCTTAAAAAATAAGCAATAGTGGCGCATCTTTTGGGCTGAATTGCAAGATATGCCAAAGCTTATCTTCTTGTTTATCAAATATAATATACACTCAAAGTTAATCCAAAGTTAGTCTTTGACCCAATAACACCTTTATAAACCCCATGGCTTACTCAATAAAATAAGTACGAAAATATATATATAAGCTGTTGTTATTATTTTAGAATTTTGGTATAAATTTTATGAAAATCGGACAACTATATCATATAGCTGCCATAGAAGCGATCGGTAGATGTTGAGAAAATGTAAAGCTAGGAATGTAACTGTAACTATCAAACTGTAAACATAATAAGTATAGTTAAAATGTAATAAAATAATATCTGCAAGGGTATACAAACTTCGGCGTGCCGAAGTTAGCTTCCTTTCTTGTTTAATATAAAAAATCCGATTTTATAATACAAAATAATATTTTTCTAAGCCAAGGAATCATTTCCGACCCCATAAACCATATATATTCTTGATCAGCATCAACAGGAGAATCTTTCTAGACATGTCCGGAAGAAATTGATTTTTTGGCCAATTTTGCGAAATTTGATAAGGGGTTACATCATTAAAATTAGCAAAAATTGCCAAAAATGTTGATTTCTTAAAATTTTAAATTTGGTATGCAGTTTTTTTAAATTACTAAAAACTAACACAAAACTGCTTTCCGAATCGAAATTAATGCATTTTTGGCTTAGTTATGATATATTTTAATTGTTACCTGCAAGGGTATACAAACTTTGGCTGGCCAAAGTTAGCTTTCTTTCTTGTTTTGTGTGTGTCAAGTCAGAGTTCCTACTTAATACATACAATACAAATATTTTACCAAAAACCAAAGCGGCCTCTACTATTTACGTTTCACCAATTTTACCTGTTCAGGTATACTACCTTTTAGCGCCACTGTGTAAAATCGTTAAAGATAAATTCAAAACAAGATCACATAAATTAATTGTTATACCATAAGCTAACCAACTTACACGGTGAGAATCAATTACGAGACTATAAAGGAATATTTATTGGCCATAAAAATAAGCCCTACAGTTTACTAGCTCTTTTCACAATACTCGATATTGTCGCGAAGTCGGGTTATTCGGTCAATGCCAGAGCTGGGGCTGGTGATGGCGCCTGAAACCCAAATAGAGGCGTGATCTGCATGTTAAGATCCAAATTGAAAAAGTCCCCATCGAAGCTATTGAACTCTTGGCTCCAATTGCACGTGACCAGGCCCGGATTGCGGTTGGGCCTGATCCAAGCGAGCGCACAGTGGGAAAGGCCCTTCCATTATTTGTGTGTTTTTTTTTTATACTTTTATGACATTGCAAAAAGTGAGGCAAAAAGAGATGAAGTTTCGGGGTGATTGCATCACTTGAAAGTGCAGCAACAAAAAAAAAAGAAAATAAAGAAAGGACTGGAATCGAGGAATGCAATGGCAAGTGTGAAAATAAACGCCAATAATACATGAGCTGGGACGAAAGCAAACCAAATCAAAAATAGCGAACATTAAACTCGTTTGTTTAGCGGCAAAAAAATAATTATAAAATGCTTGTAAATGAATCGAGCCAAAAGTTGCGCAATTTCAGGCGGCGGCGACGGTTCGACAGCTGTTCACCCTCCTCCGCGGGACTCCAGCTCTCATCTTGGGGCCAGTCGGGGCGAGGAAGCAGCTATTAAAGATAACGCAATCCCCATCGCTGTCCGGCGTAATTTTGGTAGTTTCCGCACGCGACTTTTTGGCCAAAACAAAAAACAACAGATGAACATGAGGATTGCTGGCTGAGTCTTCGCTGGCTGGGATGGCATTGTCGCAACATGCAACATTGAAATGCGGCGACCCCCGCGGGAGAAAGATTATAATTATTGTAAAAAAGAAAAATTATAAGTCACATAACCGCCGAAGCCCCAATTTGCATATTCATGTTTTCGTAAACTGCGGCAATTAAGTGACAGCCAAACGAGACAAACGAGTGTTGGCGATGAAAGCGTGAGAAGAAGTACAAGGGGGAACTCCCTTTAAAAGTCTAAAATAACTTTAAACTTAATTGTATCTTAAGATATTACTCAGAGTCTTTAATGTTATATATTTTATATATAATATGCCCCCTCCAAGTCGATTTAACAGTAACTTTTATGTAAAGTATCTTAAAGATACATTTATATTCCATTATATCTGACCGAGTTCTGAGTAGAGAATGGTTTTGAAAATTTAACTGTAACCAATATATCCGAAAGAGTGGGCTTATCTTGGTGTAAAACACTCGCTCACGGATCACCCGGGCCACCACTAGGCCCCCATATTAATTGCGGCGACTGCGTAACAGAGACTTACAACCCGACAGCACGAGACACCCGCCTGAGGGAAACACTACATACAGCCATATGTAAGTCTCTGTGGCCCGAGGCATTGGAGCACGAAGAGCAAGCAAACCGAACAACACCCGTGACAATGAAGTGGCAAGGCAGCCGCTGCCCCACCCCAACTCCAACTCCAGCTCCCGCTGCGGTCGGGCCGCGTCTGCGTAATACCAGAAGTAGTCAACAGGTGAACAGCTTCGGAGGGAACTTCGGTGGAACTGGAAGCAGGCCAGGCGGACTTCGGGAGCGGACCCGTTCCTCCCCTCTTCGTGGCACACATGCTGGAGTATGTGGTGTGTGTGGCGCAACGTCCATAAATATAAACAAGCTGGAAGCGGTGGCGTTTGTGCATCGAACGAAAGTAAAATTAAAAAAGCGGCATAAAAGTCCAAATATCAATACAACAAATAAGACATTACAAATATTCGGTCAAGTGGAGCGGCCTCATGCGCTACATTTGGAAAATTGGGGCTACTATTTGTAGTAATAAGTAAAAATAATTTGAATATTAAGTACCATTTAGCTGTAGCTGTATGTTCCAGCTGCTAATTAAGTGTCTTAATTGTTATTTTATTGGTTTATTTTATTTTATTTTATTTTCTACTTGTGTAAACAGAAATTGTAAACTGTAATTTGTAAGAGACGTAACAAAAATCCCTTTCAGGCAACTTATAAACAAACTAAATGAGTTGAAAATCTTAAAAAATTGCCTTCAAATAAATTAGAAATTTGTTAGAAACCTTTCCCATTTTAAGTTTTTTAAAAAATAATAGATTTTTAGTACAATTTAGTACATGAGAATAATTCAATGAATGCAGAGCTACCAACCATACCCATTAAGAATTATTTAAAAATTATCAAAAGGTATGATTTAATGCTAGATGGATACCTAAACTCCTCGCTGTAATTGCAGCGCATCTGAAAACCCATTTTTCAACATTTTTCTCGTGGTCAGCTGGCAAGCCACAAGCGGGTTAGCGGGTGTAAGCGGGTAAGAGGCGCCGCCAGTTAAAAAATTGCGGAATTCATAGCCTCAGTTCGGGCAAAAAGAGTATGAAAAAAAAAACTGGACGCAAAAGAGGCAAACGAAAGAGCCAACTATTGTCATTGCCTTCGACGGTTTCGTCCGACATTTCACTCATCGGTCGAGGCACTTGGGCTCCAGCCATCGTCGCCAACAGTCACGCGCAACGCATACCAGATATAAAACCGCGAATTAAGTGTCTCCTCAAGGATTTCGGATTTTTATAAACATGTTCGCCACAACATACTGGAAGTTGGCCATTAGCATAGGCCTTATATCCGCTGTTTTGGTGACACCAGGCTCCGGGGCCTATACGCGGGAGATTGTAAACGACAAACTTCCATTGCAGGAGAGGCGTAAGTAGCCACAGCCCAGGCTAGATCCACAAGGATGTTTTAAGCAACAAGGATATTCCGTGTTAAATAATAAGAAATGTCATAATACGTTATATAAGAGTAGTTGCAGTCTGCCTTATAAAAGTGTCACTGAAATCCATTCCAAAAAATAATTAAAATTAAAGATATCGAATTAAATATACCCTACCTCTTGTAACGCAGCTCCATGGCTACAGACGTGCAAGCGCTCCAATCCAAACGAGAACAAGTGCTTCCGGCAGCTCTTCGAGGGATGCTTTCCTGCTCTGGCCGCTGGCATTCCCGAAATCGGCGTGAAAAGCTTTGAACCCCTGAACATTGATCAGGTATCCGTCTCGAAGGGCAGTGGAAATCTGGTGCTATCGGGCGGATTCCAGAATCTGATAATCCGCGGACCGTCTAACGCTACTGTGCGAAGAGCCAGGTAATTAGATTAAATCGGAATTAGACTTTCAAGATATTCTGTACATACTTTTTATATTTATTTTAATTTTTTTTTAATGAAACGATTCAGCTTGGATCTAGAGCGGCGGCTGCTGAACTTCGAGCTGGAACTGCCAAGGCTCCGTATCCGGGCTAAGTACAACCTGAAGGGAAATATCCTGCTGCTGCCTCTGGTCGGTAATGGGGATGTGGCCATGGCGCTGAAAAACGTGCATACCACTGTCTACACAAGGATCTCCCTTCGGAACGAGACCCGTACGGGCGATGAGATCATCCACATCGACGAGATGAAGGTGGGCTTCGAGGTGGGCGCCATGCGTATCCATTTGAAGAATCTCTTCAACGGCAACGACATCCTGGCGGCCTCAATTAACTCGTTCCTTAACCAAAACGGCAACGAGGTCATAGCCGAGCTACGCCCGGACTTGGAGCTGGGACTGGCCGACATTTTCCACGGACTGTGGAACAACGTCTTTTCTAAGATGCCCACCAAGCTGTGGCTGATCTAGTGATCCTCGGGATTTCGTCCGCCGTTTATGTATTATATTCATAATTTATTTCACCTTTAATTGTGTGCTTATGTCTAGGCTAATTTTTGAACTACAATTAAATAATTAAGTTGGAATGGGTGGTGCTTTCTGCTTATTTACCCTTGCCCTTGGGCAGCAGAACATCGTAGCTGAAGGATGAGAACAGCTTATCTACGGAGGAGCTCAGGATGTCCTTGAGGGCTCTGGTCATCAGGGGACGTACTTCCTCGGCCAGAGCCTTCCAGTTCTCGTTGAGGAACTCGTTCATCCGATCACCCAGCGCCTTGTCGCCGTTGAACAGGTTGTCCAGGTGGATTTTCACGTCGGACAACTCGTACTTGACATTAACCTCGTTCATCTTCAAATAGTTGGCACCGTCCTTCTGATACTCCTGTCCTATGAGCTCCGTGCGCATTGTGATATTTACTGTAAAGAAGCGATGGTATTAATCTTTGTTCATTTTTATGTCTTGAGAGTATCTTACTCAAATCCACCTGGCAGTGGCCATCGCCCAGCAGCGGCATCATCATAATTTTACCCTAAAATAATCAGTTTTATTAAAGCTTTGCTTCCTGGAAGTGCGGTCTGCCTTCCTACTTCCCTACTGACCTTAATGCTGTACGCCGACTCCATATGCAGTTTGGGGAAGGTCAGAGACACTATGAACTTGAGCTTTGATGGTTCCAAGCGCAGCTCGTTCACCGAGTGCTTGGAGATCCCCGTCACCTTGACGTTACGGTACACGGAGTGCAGGTAGATGGCACCCGAGTCCTGGTCCATTTTCACCTGAGGCACCACCAGCGGCTCCATGGAGGGTATAAACAGCTCGGGAATTCCCTCCATCAGACGCGGTCGCAGAGCCTCAAAGGATTGCCGGGCGCAAGTGTTCAAATTGGGGGAATCGCGATAGCATACCTTCAGGAATGATGCTACAAGGATATTACAAAACTAAATTTTGGAATCAAAATCCTCGATTTTACTCACGTAATTTTGCCGACTCCCCCTGTAGGGCAACTCCTAACAGGAGCATCAGTCTTATTATGAAGTTTCGATCCATTCCGCTTTTTTTGTTCTGATTGCGGGCGATATCAAGCGAATTGTGTTTGCTGCCAAGCTGCGCCGCTAGCTTTTATAGCCAAGTCTGTGCCAGAAGCTGACGCATTCTCGGTTCTGCCGCTTGAGCACTTTCTCGTGACATTGCAGTCCTCAGCAGTTTTGCTTCAATTGACCAAGCCAAGCTGTTACCCACTCCACTTGACTACTATATACAGCCGTCCATTTGTGTGGTAAATACATATACCTCGCAGTTTTTATTTTCCCTGAACTAGGCCTGCTTCGAATTATAGAATAAATTAAAGTATATATCAATAAAGACACGACAATTTATTATATTTTTATTAAATTTTTCATCTATTTTTTTTCCCTTTATTTTTTTAGGGTCCCAATTTGAAATAAGTCTTTGTTTTACCACAAATGTGTTTTATAAACAGCCTTTCTATAAACTATAAATTCGACACAATACATTATATACTGGGATAATTGATACTATAATTAATTGTATGGCCATCTGGAAAGCAGGCAATATCAATTTAACGGCTGCTCCAATCGTTCTGGCCAAACTGAAAACAATTTTCGTCTGCCGTCATTTGTTTGCAATATGCAAAGTTAAATAAAAAGAAAACAATCAAACTTAAACAGATTTTTGTTTAATTCCACTGAGAATACAATAACATGCAAAACTTAAAACAAAACAAAAATGAAACAAATAAACACACACTTCTGTGCGAATTTGAGAAATTAAGTTTTTGGGAAGTCCTTCAAGAGAGACAAATCATCATTCGTTAAATGGGTGATAACAAACTAAAATTATGTATAAAAAAATAAATAAAAAATCGTTATGTGTATTTCGATTAAATTAAGGCACATGTTCTGAAGCGAACAGGGGGACACTAGGCAGGATCGACTTCCATCTCAGTCTGCAGCCTGAAATACCCAGAGATTATTTCGCGATTCAACAGTTAAAGTGCAGAAAAGGTTTAACTTACATCTTACTAATTCGTTCAGCCTCGGCGATAACGCTGTTTGTGGTTAGAGAATCAAATGGATCCGAACTGGGATGCCCGGTACCCATAGTCAGTCGGCTCATTTCGTCGCTCAGCTGAAGCATCGCCGGCGGAGCGACAGATATCGGGATCGGCGACACCATTGGAGGAAATGCTGCGGATTTGAGCATCTTCAAAAGCAGCTTGGAAATATCGCTCTTAATGTGCTCAAATTTCTCCAAGGCAGTCGGGACCGCCGACCTGCCTGCAGCAAAATGCAGGTGAAGGGTATCTATCATCTTGGCCTCCTTTACCAATGGCCCGTCGATGTGGAGCTTCTGATATGTTTTACCAAACTCCTTGGCCGCTTCCCTGAACTCTCCGAGGGAAATACTCCCACCATTGCGCAAGTACTGCCGCTGAAATCCATTGCTGCAGGATACAAGTTAGATGGCAAATTAGTTGATGATTTTCTGCTGACCCCTTTAGACTTACACATGGAATATATCTTTTTCGCCATAGTCCTGCAGTAGCTGCTTGGTGACATTCACCTTGTTCCGGGCTTGTCGCAAGCAGGAGTCGAAGTGGGCCAGGAGCTTGTTGGCACTATCTATAATGACTTCATAGCTAGCCTTGAGCTTCTCCCACTCTGCAGAGTCGTTGAGCTGAAAGAAAATGGGATTAAATTGAGTTACAAATACGGACGGGGCTCAATAGCTACCTGAATGGACGGACTTTCTGTTTTGGCTTCTGTTCGAAGTCCCTGCAGTTGGTCAAAGACGGAGGCAGTGGTCAGCAACTGTTTGTTTATCATATCCTTAAAGGGACTAGCGATTATTTCGTCTTCCAGCACTAGAGCATGCTCGTTGATTCCAGAGAGAAACATCTCCACCTTCGCCTGCTCCTTGCTGATTACGCAGTGCATGTCCAGAGCCAGGCGCTTAAGCAGCCACCTTTCCTCCGACTTGAACTTTGGCGTATTACATTTTAGCATCAGCGTCGTGAAAACAGGCTCAGAGACGCTGTACTTCGTGTTTTTGCCCTGAAACACATACACCATCACTGGGGGAGTGCTGCGCTTTGTCCATTTACGCGTATCCTTGCTGGTATCCCTCCACTCCTCTACATAGAGATCGATGGGCTTGGTGCTGGGCGTGATCTTCTTGTGCGGGTGAAAAGTGGGCAGCACCAGGTAAACATCCTCGATAGCCATTTCCGTGTCCCGAGCTATCACTCCAATCAGGCGCTCTTTAGTCATGTCGTCAGTAACGGCGTACTCTAGAAGTTTGCTGGAGTTTACCGAAAAAATGGTAAGCACCTTGATCTGAAGCAACTTGTCAAGTGCGGAGAATACGACTGGAACTGATTGTACTTCATCAGATGCCAGTTGCCCACGTCTCTTTTGGTCACTGTCCAGTGGCAGGCGGAGCCACTCAGTGAATTTCTCCGCCCAGGGACGAGACAGATGATGCTCGTTAGGCAAATGTTTTTGGTTTATGAAGCGACTGGGGTCCGCATGGTCCTCTGTAATGGCAATGACCTCTCTGGGCTTTTTTTCAAGACTCATAATGATATTCTTCGGCGTCTGGTGCGGTATGAAGGGCAGCTCGCCTATGGCCACCTCGTAAGCGATGATGCCCAGCGACCAGTAGTCCACAGCCTTGTTGTAAATGCCCGACACCACCACCTCGGGGGCAAAGTAGTTTCGCGTTCCCACCACGCTCTGCAAGATCGTTTTCTCGGGGGTGCCTCGTGCCAAGCCAAAGTCGGTTAGCTTGTACACCTTCTTCCCGTCGGCTCCGCGCTGGATCACAATGTTATCCGGCTTCAAGTCACGGTGGCAGACTCCACACTTCGAGTGCAGGAAGTGAACTGCCAGGCGCAGAGCCGCCAAGATCTCGCGCACCTCAAACTCCACCAGACCGTTGGCATTCTCCGGACTCTGCAGCCGCTTGCGCACGTCGCCCCCATTGCAGTACTCCAGCACGATGACCGGCAGCTTGGCAATGTGCCTGCCATTGAGGAAGTCCCTGAAGGCCGGGTCCAATTCGTCTAAGATCACGCCGGCCACAATGTGCGGCAGCTGCTGGAACTCACGCGTCCAGTTGTACTCCATATTCCAGCGCTCGCTGAGCTTTATCTGCTGATCGGCGCTCAGCGAATTCAAATCCTTAATGTGTTTGGTGGCTGGTGTTTATGGCGGTGGAAGATCAACAAACAAAAAGGGGTTTTAGTATCTGCGACGCAATCTGCCTCTCGGCTGAGTCAGCTACAAGCTGTAGCCTATAAGCTTCGAGCTACGGCTATCACATCCGGAGGGACCACACACACGGCAAAGGCGAGCGGGTGGTCTGCCTTCCTATCAGTGCAGCAGCGGAAAAGCGCTTGCATCAGCCCTATTTCTCGGAATCGCACACGAGATCCCCAACACAGGGAAAAGCATTTCCATATACAGTATACAAGTGCGTCGGTGTGCGCACCACAAAGTTGTTTATAGCTCACCGATTTCCTGGCCCCCGCTCAGGTGCCGCCAGTGGTGCACCTTGCCGAATCCGCCCTGGCCCAGTTCGCCGCACAGCAGCCAGTTCCCCCAGGACTCCATTTTACCGATCATTTTAATTTACGCAGCACCTTTCGATCGTAACGAAACCTTCCATCCCGGGAGAATCCAAACCTTTGTAGAGATGGGATAATATATCAACACATGAATCGATATCGATATTTTTTGGCAAACAAAAATAAACTTATAAAAATAAAACATTGAGTTGCTTCATTATCATATATGTATTATAATTTTAATATAGCTTTCCTTATTTTTCCTTAGACATCGTTTCAATCTTGGAAATACTTTATTTATTAATAGGAAAGTGTCATCGATTTGTTTCCATTTCTTTAAAGATTCAGTGTGACCATAATCTGATCGGTAAAGACACAGAGTTTATAAACATAAAGTGCCATCTCTATTCAAACAGGTTGTAAACAAAAACTGAAAACTGGAAAAATAGCAATAGTTAAAAGAAAAAAGAACTATTCCTGCATGCCCGAGCTACAATGCGTTTCCACATGAAGAGCGGCAGCGAGGACAACGATATTGTGGCCACCGCCACGGCCGAGCACATCCGCAAGTTTGTCTTCAGCAGCGGATCACCTGCCGAACGCCTGGAGATCAAAATACCCGAGGTGAGCATGTGATATTCCCCAGATGCTTATCCCGCAGCATCTAACGAGTGATCCCACGTTCCACAGCTGCTTCAGGGAGCATACTCCTTCTACACGTGGCCCTGTGCCCCGGTGCTGGCCCACTTTCTGTGGGAGCGTCGCCAGACTCTGGCCGGTAAGCGCATCCTTGAGCTGGGTAGCGGTACCGCTCTGCCCGGCATCCTCGCCGCCAAGTGCCGAGCTCAAGTGGTGCTGACTGACAACTGCATCCTGCCCAAGTCGCTGGCCCACATCCGGAAGTCTTGCCTGGCTAACCAGCTGCAGCCGGGCGTGGACATTGATGTGGTAGGCTTGAGCTGGGGCCTCTTGCTAAACAGCGTGTTCCGACTGCCGCCGCTGGACCTAATCATCGCTGCAGACTGCTTCTACGATCCGAGCGTGTTCGAGGACATCGTGGTCACAGTGGCCTTTCTGCTGGAGCGGAATGCCGGTGCCAAGTTTATATTCACGTATCAGGAGCGGAGCGCCGACTGGTCAATTGAGGCGCTGCTCAAGAAGTGGAAGCTGCAGGCGCTGCCCATCAGCATGGACGACATTGGAAAGGAGTCGGGCGTGGATCTGCTGGAGTTTATGGGCGGGCACACCATTCACCTGCTGGAGATAACGCGCGCCGAGAACGGCGGTACAATAAATTCTATATAACAATTATATACAAATCTTGTAAGAGTATTTTAATGGCGGATTATTTCTATATTGAAAACCCAATTTTTTTTCATTTAAGTTAATTCAAAAACCCTTTATATGACAAGAGGGAAATTATTGAATTATAAGATTACTGATTACAATACAATATAAAAATAGGTCAAACAGGAATGTTTCTTTAAAATTAAACATTTTTTAACAATAAAGGAGTCCTTTGATTTTCGCGCTTTCTATTAAACTGTTATACATTTGATTATGATAATCGATATTTTTAAATTTGAAAATGTATTGAAACTCACAACTTTGTTTCTCAATATTGTATTATTTAATTTTTTATTGCCGAATCTAAAATTCTTAACAAAACTGAATACATTTTTTTTATATTTTCGGATTTGAAAAGTGCGAAATGAAGATGGACGATATACTTTGCGAAATTGTTTGTCGATGACCCGTATCGATAATATTTAGACCCGCTTGGTCACACTGCGCGACGACGCTCGAGGAACTGCGAAATTTTTATTTATTTACCTCGCGCAATACAAGTTAATTATAGAGCACCGAAGTGCCACACAGTGCGAAAAACGTAGTTTATTTATTTATTTGTTATTGCTGCGACCGGCGTCCAGCAAACAAAATTATTCATTGTGTTGAAGTCGTGTTTGTGTGCGTGCCTCAGTACTGTGCCGTGTGAGTGTGTTGTGTGTCGCCTGCGAAAAATCGAAGTTATTGCATTGCGCAGCCTTTTGGGCCAGCTGTCCGCCGCCCCACAGCCCCCAACGGTTCAGAGGCCCTCTGATCTACATGCCGATGGTGAGTGTGCCTTTGCTGTGTGCGGTGTGTGTGGCGGAATGCACTTGAGTGCATCGAAATGCAGGGATTCCGTTCCGGCGGTGGGCGTCGCTTGCGGTTGTCGCAGATCTTTAAGCTTCTGGGCTCCAAGCTTCGCCATTTTGCGGTTTCAAATGAATAACCCTTGAAATTAATAGCAACAACAACAATTGGGAGCCCAAACAAACGGTAATCGACGGCATTTTGTTGACGCACATCCCCGCAGGAGAAACATTTGTTGTTGCGATCGATCCGTTAATTTGAAAGAGCGAGAGAGCGCCGCTAAGGCGAGCGAGATAGAGCGAGCGTAAGCTTGTTGGAGCGCGCGAGAGAGCGGCTGAGTCGGCGGTGGTTGACAAAGAGGGCGAGTCTATACGACTGCTGGAATGCTCTACCTGGGGATTATTTAAATCACTCACAGGCTTGCGTGTGTGTCACCCTCTTAGGAGAGGGAGCAGGGGCATCTGCCCGATTTATTGTCTCCAGCTCAGAAACAAATAGCTAGCGTGCTTACGCACTAACAGTGTTTACTCAATATAGTGAATAAAAGCGCCTGTGATTAGAAGAAATCCATGGGACGAAGTGCTTATACGCTTGCAATTTGCTTAAAGAATGTGTAAATATTTTAAAGTTTAAAGTAGAAGGCTTTTAAAATTAGCCAGTAAATCGCAAAAAATAATATCCTAGTTCGTAGTTCCAGTTACCCAGCTTATAATGGTTATTTTACTTTGTGATTTTGGATCTCCCAGTCCGCAGTGACACCTCACTTTACACTGTATCTCGGAAATTAAAAAATATTTATAGATATACCCAATAACTGGTAACAAATTCAAAGTTCCAAGTCTTAGGCGCTGCTCTTCAACAAAAACTTAAAAAATCGGCCGTCAACCCCCTTCAGAATAAAATGTCTACACCATTACGCATCCAATTAAATAGACATAATATAATTAAAACAAACCGTCTCAAGAGTCTGAGTTCACTTTAGACGGCGAGCTCTGTACTTCTTCGCATGATATCACCCATCCTGGTGACAAGCCCGCAACGAACCTTTCCGAATGGCCAAAATTTGCACGCTCCTATTTCATTTCTATTTATGCCCAAGTAACTGCACTTAAGTGATGGCATTCTAAATATGGACCGACCCATTTACTTTTTGTCGCCTCTCCTCAGCCGGCGGCTGCAGTTGCTCGGCCGGAACGGATGATTCCTTCTTGGCCTCCGAGATTTCATCGACGATTAAGCTCAATTTTGAAACATTTGCTCGATAGCTCCTGACAACCAGAATAGTTCTGCTTCACTGGCGTTCAGTTGATTTTCTACGAAATTACGTGTTATATTCCGTTTCTAATATTTTATTTGCTCTTTGTTCTGTAGAATGTTCATTGAGACAACCTTTTCCACCAACGAACACTGAGGAGAATCCGCTCCTCAGACTGTATTGAATTGCATTAAGGACACAACATGGCCGAGGATACTGAGTACAAGAAGTTGCCGGTAGAAGAGAGATGCGTGCACAAGCTGTGGAAGGCTCGCGTCGATGGATATGAGGAGGCGGCCAAGATCTTCCGCGAGTTGGACGATGAGAAGTCACCGGAATGGTCGAAGTTTGCCGGCCTAATCAAGAAAATGGTGGTGGACTCGAATGCCCTGGCCCAGGAGAAGGGTCTTGAGGCGGCGCTGATATTTGTAGAGAACAGCGGTCTCGCTGGTCGTACCGTGGGCGATGTGATGACCGGTATTGTTCAGAAGTGCATTGCAGCACCGAAGACGAAGACCAAGGAGCTCTCCGTCCAGGTTACGCTTATGTACGTGGAGATCGAGAAGCAGGAGGCTGTCGTCGAGGAGCTCGTCAAGGGAATGGAGGCCAAGAATCCAAAGATCGTCTCCGCTTGTGTGGCAGCAACTACATTGGCTCTCCGGGAATTCGGCCATAAAGTGGTCGGCGTAAAGCCGCTGATCAAGAAGCTGGCACCGCTGATGTCGGACCGAGATAAGGCAGTTCGAGATGAGGGCAAACTGCTGGCCGTGGAGATCTACCGCTGGATCGGAGCCGCAATGAAGGCACAAATCTCTACATTGCCGCAAGTGACACTCAAAGAGCTGGAGGATGAGTTCGATAAGCTGAAGGGTGAACGTGTAGAGCCCTCCAGGTGGGTTGTCTTGCCTCTTCCTCCCGCACTAGTTTTCACCTAAACTGAATTAATTTGTTTAATTTCAGATATCTTAAGTCGCAGCAGGAAAAGCAGGCAAAGATCGCTGATGCCGCTGCCACCGAAGATGCCTATCACGGTAATGACACAACATAAATTTTCCGCATACCCGACATACCCAACATACTCTTCCCAAAGGACCTATCCACACAGTTCTCCTTTTACAAGCTATTTTATATCCCTAACGAAAACATAATTTGATATTTTTAACCAAATGGTTAAATAAACTTCATGCTTATATATATTTATATTTATTTTTCTTAATTTATTGTTTATTGTTTTCATTTATTTCTTCGATTTTGTAAATATATATCAATATATAAATGAAATTCTTAATCTTAATTTCCTTCGCCATAAATGCAGAAGAGGATGGCGAGGCTTGCGCTGAGGACATCGATCCCATGGATCTTCTCGATCCCGTTGACATACTCTCAAAGATGCCCAAGGACTTTTACGACAAGCTCGAGGAGAAGAAGTGGACTCTGCGCAAGGAATCGCTGGAGGCTCTGGAGAAGCTGCTCACCGACCATCCCAAGCTGGAAAGCGGCGAGTACGGCGCACTGGTGAGCGCCCTCAAGAAGGTGATAACCAAGGATTCCAACGTGGTCCTTGTGGCCATGGCTGGCAAGTGTCTGGCTATGCTGGCTAAAGGATTGGCCAAGCGCTTTTCGAACTATGCATCGGTAAGAGTTTTTTTTCCTGAAATAGAACTCGAACGTGTCAACGTAAAAGCTCTCAATTATTTCAGGCTTGTGTGCCATCACTTCTGGAGAAATTCAAGGAGAAGAAACCGAATGTGGTGACCGCTCTCCGGGAGGCCATCGACGCCATCTACGCCTCCACCACACTTGAGGCCCAGCAAGAGTCGATCGTGGAGTCGTTGGCCAACAAAAACCCAAGTGTAAAGTCCGAGACAGCCCTGTTCCTGGCCCGGGCTTTTACCCGCACCCAGCCGACGGCGCTGAACAAGAAGCTGCTGAAGCTACTGACCACAAGTCTAGTGAAGACGCTCAACGAGTCGGATCCCACAGTTCGGGACAGCAGCGCAGAAGCCCTGGGAACTCTAATGAAGCTAATAGGTGACAAGGCGCTGAATCCACTGCTGACCGACGTTGATCCGCTTAAGATGGGCAAGATTAAGGAGTGTCACGACAAGGCGGAGATTAAAATTAAGGTGGCGGGTCCGAAGAAGGAGGCACGTCCGGCGTCAGCACCTCAGGCGAAGCCCAGTGCTCCAGGCAAGGCCACGGCTGGCAGTGTGGATCCCAAGCCCGTAACGCGGCCGGCCACTACAGGCGCACGAAAGGTTCTGAAGAAGCCAACTGCTGGTGCTGCGGCCGGAGGCGCATCTGCTCCAGTTGCCGCCACCAAGGCGTCTGGAAAAGCCCTCGCTACAGAGCGGGAAATGACCCCGGAGGAGGTACAAGAAAAGGCCGAGGAGATCCTACCAGTCGACATACTGAATGGATTAGTGGATGCCAACTGGAAGAGCCGTCTCGCCGCCGTAGAGCAGCTGCTTAATGAAATCACCGACTTCGATGTCAAGCAGCCGGGCATTTCACAGATCCTGGTACGAACCATCAACGGACGCAAGCCAGGCCTTAAGGAGATGAACTTCCAGGTCCTCAAGTACAAACTCGACATCATTCGCAGTGTGGCTGAGCACTACCCGCTGACCACGATCACCGTGGACCAGGTTATCAACGAGATAACCGAGAAGCTGGCTGACCCAAAGAACGGATCAGCCGCGGCCGATGTTTTATCCGCCTTCGCTGACGCCACCAAACTGGAGTATATCGTGGTCAAGGTGCTCAGCTTTGCCTTTGAGCAAAAGTCGCCAAAGGTGCAATCGGAGGCATTCAACTGGGTGAACAAATCCATAATAGAGTTTGGATTTCAGCTGCAGCCCAAGACCCTCATCGAGGATGTGCGCAAGGGCGTGCAGAGCTCAAATCCAACGGTCCGAGGCGCTGCTATCCAGCTCGTGGGGACCATGTCCATGTACGTGGGCAGTGCCCTCATGATGTTCTTTGACAGTGAGAAGCCTGCTCTGAAGTCCCAGATCCAAGTGGAATTCGATAAGTACGTCGGCCAGAAACCGTCAAAGCCCGTGAGGGGCGTTCAACGGGGAAGCGGAGGAGGAGTTAGTAATTCCGCAGACAACGAGGACGATGATGGAGCAGCCGGCGAGGATGAACCCACCAACATGGCTGACCTATTGCCTCGCGTTGACATTTCGCCGCAGATCACAGAGGCCCTGCTGAAGGAGATGTCCGACAAAGACTGGAAGACCCGCAACGAGGGGCTGAACAAGCTGCAGGTTATCATTGCAGACGCGAAGCTAATCAAGCCCACCATCGGGGACTTGGCTCCAGCGCTGGCTCTCCGCCTGGTGGACTCCAATGCTAAGATTGCCCAAACTACGCTCTCCATTTGCGAGCAGCTGGCCACGGCCATGGGTCCGGGGTGTCGTAACCATGTGCGCACCCTCTTTCCCGGATTCCTCCACGCCATGGGCGACAGCAAGATTTTCGTGCGGACGGCCGCTCTCAATTGCATAAATAGTTTCGGCGAGAAGGGTGGCTACAAGGAGTTCTTCGAAAGCGAAATGATTGCCGACGCCCTAAAAAGTGGTTCGCCGGCCCTGAAAGTCGATCTGTGGGCCTGGTTGGCAAAGAAGCTGCCCGTTTTGCCGCCAAAGTCCGTGTCCAAAGAGGATCTCCATTCTATGGTGCCGCACCTCTATGCGCACATTTGCGATCGCAATGCGGACGTGCGCAGGAACGCCAACGAGGCGGTGCTGGGTATTATGATCCATCTGGGATTCGATGCTCTGAACCGCGCGCTCGACAAGCAGAAACCCGCGTCCAAGAAAGACATTCAGGCAGCTCTGGAGAAGGCGCGGCCCAACTTGCCAGTGAAGCCGCTGCCGAAGGGCAAGCAGCAAGCTCCCATACCCGAGGAGCCCAAGGCCAAATCAGTGCGCGGAGGTGGTGCTGGAGGAGCGAGTGGCGGAGCGGCTGGCGTCCAAAAGAGTGCTTCTGTACGGGCAGCCGGAGGGCAGGACAAGCTGCCGGCACCGGCACGCAAGAAGGATGAGGATATCGACACTTCTCCGCTGTTGGCTGTGAATAGCTCCAAGAATCAGCGGCTGCTGGACGAGCAAAAAATGCGAGTCCTCAAGTGGACATTCACCACACCGCGTGAGGAATTCACAGAACTGTTGCGCGAGCAGATGATGGCGGCCAATGTGAACAAGGCGCTAATTGCCAACATGTTCCACGATGATTTTCGGTGAGTGGTAAATCGCTACAACACTTCTCCATTAAGCCTAATTACAAATTCCCATCCAGCTATCACTTGAAAGTCATTGAGCAGTTAAGCGAAGATCTGGCTGGGAACAGCAAGGCGTTGCTGTGCAATCTGGACCTGATACTCAAGTGGTTGACGCTGCGCTTCTACGATACGAACCCTTCTGTGCTAATTAAGGGCCTCGAATATCTGGTGCAGGTCTTCCAGTTGCTCATCGACCTGGAGTACATTCTGGCCGAGAACGAAGGCAGCTGCTTTATACCTCACCTCCTTCTAAAGGCAAGTATTTGTCGATTGAGAAAAATAATATGAAAATGGCTCACTTTCAGTTCGTGCTTTCAGATCGGAGATCCAAAGGATGCCGTCAGGAACGGGGTTCGACGAGTGCTGCGCCAAGTTATTCTGGTCTTCCCATACGCAAAGGTCTTTGCTTATGTGATGGAGGGTCTCAAGTCAAAGAACGCCCGCCAGCGCACCGAGTGCCTGGACGAGCTGTCATTCCTGATCGAGTCCTACGGCATGAATATCTGTCCCCAGGCGTCGGTACGTGAGATCGCCCGTCAGATCTCTGACCGAGATAACTCCGTTCGCAGTGCGGCCCTCAACTGCATTGTCCAGGTGTTCTTCCTATCCGGTGAAAAGACCTACAAGATGATTGGACAGCTTAACGAGAAGGATCTATCGATGCTTGACGAGCGCATCAAACGCGCCAAGAAGACTAAAAAGCCAACGCCACCGCCCACTGCCGTGGAGATGCCCAGTAGCGGCAGGTCGGCGGCACCTCAGCGGCAGGACAGTATCGAGATCGAGGACGCAGTGGTGGGCAATGGTTCCGATGAGCTGCCGCCACCGGATGAGGAGGGGTAAGTGAGCGTGGTAGGATCGGAGGCCTGCCTCCTATACAACAACCAGTCCATTTACCTGTGTACCTACAGCCGAGGTTTGGAAACTGCTGCTGCTTCTGCAGGCAAGGCTAGTCAGGCGGCAAGAGTTCCCCCATCCCGACTAAAACCATCCAAAATTCCCATACTAAGGAAGAGGGCTTTGTGAAATGTGTTATTTATATTGTTATGGAACTAACAACTCAAAATTTGAAATGCGTGTCTCGAGCTGCAGAGCTTAGAATACATCAGACTTCTTCTTATATATAATATAAACAGAGAGTAGTTGCTGTAATATATTATTAAATAGTATCCTCATGGTGCAGGCAAAGTCAGAACAATCCACAAGATGGATGACGGACCTACATTTGAATTTTCAAATGCAAGAAAGTTTTCTGCTAGCCACAAAAATCGTACAGGCAGATGATCTAGGACGCTTAGGGGAAGAAATACATGGGACGTTAGGGAAGTTTTTTGATTAAGATTAAGATGGTATTTGGTCGTGGTTTATGGCGGAGATACTAATTATAATAAGCTAGTGGTTTCCAGCCTCGGGCTTTCTCAATATATGAATATAATATGTATATAATTCTTCTATAATATTCTTCGATATTTTTCGTCGATTTCTGTTGATTTTCGTTTCATTTTTATTGACTCAGTTTGCAGTTAAATGTGCGTGGGCACAACAACCACCTGACCGAGCGGAGTGCCACGAATGTGGTTGCCTACTTGAACTCCCTGACACGACAGGCGTAATTGGCTTTCTTTTATAATTTATATGTGTTGTTTTGTTAATTACCTTTTGTGTTGTCCGTTGCCGTTTTTGTTTGTCAAGTCGCCTCCGCCTTTGTTGTTATCGTTAATGCTGTTGCGTAGCCTTACAAAAAATGCCTTTTCATACGTTTAGCTCATGTTTCACTTTCCTTCCGAAAATCCACAGAACCTTTGACCAGGCGCCCTCGTCGCAGCTACTTCTCCTGCAGCAGCAACTGCAGCATCTACAGCAACAACAGGCCCAGCAGAAATCCAGCGGACCCTTCGGCTTGGACTCGCAGGTGATAGACGATATTGAAAAGGACTGGGTACGTGTGGACCAGATAGAGCAGAGGCCGCTACTTAACGTAGACATCTCCGCCTTGGACGAGCCCATCAGGGTTAAGCCCACGCGTGTCGGCGTGCACTATCCGCAGGAGAAGTTCGATCGCCTGATTTCGCGTCAGCACTACATGAACACATCCCCGTCGTCCACTGGCACAGTATTGGCTAGTGGAATCTCGCCGTATCGCAGTCCCATGCGAATGCAGCTCCAGCAATTCGCGCCCCAGCAAATGGAAAATAACATGCCAAAGTGGGTTGTACAGAGACATTGCTCCCTTGAAAATTCTCTATTTTGTATTTCAACTTTTCAGTTTGGCCGATATGCTGCCCAAGCACGATCCGCAACTGATAAAGCTTATCAAGGGAGTGGGCAGCACGGATACCGTGAGGGCACGTTCTGCCATTACCGAGCTGGCCATCATTGTGGAGTCACCCGAAAAGCAGGCGGTTATGCGCGATTATGAGGAAATATTTGTACAGAATGTACTGGCACAATTAAAGGTAAGTTTAATCAGATTTAATTGAGATATATAAACCGTTTAAACCGTAAACGTTTTGTGATTGATTTCGATTGATCTACCTGCAGAATCTCTCACAGCTGCCCTCAGCTCAATCTGTGGTCGTGTATCAGCCGCTATTGTCCATTCTCTACCAGTTTTTCCATGCCAACATTCTGGGCAAAACGCTGAGCGTGGCCTGCGTTAAAAATCTCATGTCAGCCCTGCTGAATCTAATGGCCGATCCAAAGTTTGCCGTGGGCGATGACAGTCAGTATAACAAGGTGATCAATGGGATCTGCCTTAAGGTATTGGACAAGGTGGACTTTACGAATTTAAACTGGTAAGTCGGGAGTCATTATACGTACGATTAGGGACTATTATATGAACCACTTTCAGCGCTTTGATACGTTTGCTGAGAGAAACTTGTCCGGAGGCCAAGTTGCCAAAGTTCACGGATCTGCTGATGAAGTGTATCTGGCGCAACGTAAAGATGCTGGCCGAACGCAGCAACGAACTGAACTACGATGCGGTTATCCTGGAGGTTCACGAGTTCATGCTGGCCCTGCCCAGCACTTGGTGGCAGAACCGCCCGTCAGACACTCCAATGCGTACGATCAAGACAATACTACACAACATGGCCAAGGTGAAGGGCAATGCCATATTGCAGCACCTCAACCAGATACCCACTCACTCGGAGCTGCATACGTATTTGATACGTATTCTCAAGGTATATTTTATATCGGATTTTCCCTGAGGGGTAATTTCTAATTAAACTTGTAGAACTTTCAGAAGGATGGTGCCTTGGCCGGGACTGGAGCCTCGCCGCAAAAAGCCAAAGAGGTCGCCGCCAAGCGTATCTCGCACCAGACTCACGACACAGTATCACAGATCTTCAAGCTAATCTCGGACAAAGATACCAAGCAGCAAGGTCTGCAGAAGCTTTACGACTTCAAGGTATGATTGTCATGCATAAGCATTCCCCTTGTGGTGCCTACGAAATATATTTCATCTTTTAATTGCAGCAACAAAATCCCGACATAGACCTGAGCACCTTCTTACAGGGCTCCAGCGCCACTTTCCACAAGTACATTGAGGAGGGCCTAGCAGAGATTGAGCGAAATCAGAATGCAGGCTCTACCCAGGCGCCGGATAATCGTACGGGTGAGTCCAGTGCCTAACACCCAATTTCTTCTACTAACCTCAGGCAATTGCTTTTGTATTTGTGCTTAAAATCGACGTACTGCAGCAGCTACCCGTTCTTATCTCACAGATGTCAACTACCAGAACAGCGCCCACGATGCCGATTACTGGATGGATCGCCTGCAGTGTCACATGACTGGTGGAGCCGGTAAACTGTCCTCTGGCCATTCAGGAGATGATGGATCCAACATGCTGGACAACAAGGTGGCCGATGAGAATCTGTGCCTGAACGGCATCAATTCCCAGAAGACGTCGCTTATCAAGCGAGATGTAAGTATCAAGTAGATGTAGCAAAAATATATATCTGTATTAGCACCGAGTTTCAGTGAATCGATTTCTTCTAAAAAATACATCGATTAAAATCGATTCCAGATATATATTTGGGCTATAAATTGATATTCTGTTTGCTATATCGAATTCATATAATCAAGTGAACATTTTTTGACCAAGAGTTGCCTTAAATGATCTCTCTTTTAGAAACGTGACATGTCGCCCAATCGGTTGCAGCATCTGCAGGCCAAACTGGCCCAGATCAAGGAGAAGAGCCATGCCCAATAAGATCCCCTCAAGTGGAAAGCGTTTAGCTAAAGCCACTCAACAACACAACCACACACTGAACACGAGCCAGGCCTCGTACACTACATCATGAATCATTTATTATTTAACATAGTTATATGCTTACGGAATCGGCACATATATATATTCACCGTAATAGTGCTTAGTAACAGCAGCAGCAGCAGAAGTGCGTGTCGAACAACGGTAACAATAATTAACAGATCACACTATTATTATCTCCAACTACTTGTACTAATTAACAATTGATCGGTCTACATGTATTAGCACTGAGTTGTGTTTCGTATGCGATTCAATTCGATTCGATTGGCTAAGTTGAGAATGCGATAGAGACTTGAATTAGAAAGACAGCTTGTTTGCGCAAATTCGTTTAAAATGATCGGTGAAAGCAGTTAGCATGTTAAGGGATGGATTCCTGTTACACTACGTCTGGTTATGTTTTACACACCCACACACACTCTCTCTTTCTCGCCTCACATTGTTTCAAATTGTTTCTAGCCAAGCGTTGGGCTCAGTGCGCGCTAAAAAACTAATTTATACTCGTAATTAGCTAACCGTAGGTTTTACAAAAATAGTCGTTACCAGTTACTTTAACCATTGTTTAATTGTTAATTTAAGCCAACTTCAGTTTTAACCGTTTAGACCCAACTGTTTTTCGATGCCTCAAGCACGCAGTAAACGCAGGCTAACAACACACACACTGTAGACACGCAAGCGTATTTTTGTAACATCTCATGAAGTAAATATATGCGAAAATAAATGTTATATTTATAAACTATCCGAGTTAGTCGGCCACTGGCACCACCACGTCCTCGGTTATCTCCGTCAGCAGCTCCTCCTCGTCGCCGTCCTCGCCGCCCTTGCTGGTCTTGGCATAGCGCGAGGAGATGGTCGCCACACGAATGGCGGCCTTGAAGCCCACCCGGGCCTTCATCTTGGCCAGCTTGGCCTTCCAGTTCTCGTCGCGTGACGGCAGATCGTTGAGGTACTCTATCATCTCCTCCTTCTTGGGATCCACAATGGCCAGCACGGACATGCACCCGTCAACGGTGCCCAGCACAATGGCGCGACCATCCTTACTGCTCTTGATCGCCGTCAGCTCGGCCTGCAGCCGATAGTTGGCTATCATCTCTGTGTCCGCGGTGCGGAACACGCGAATTGTCTTACGTCCGCTGTGGTAGTACGCCACATACTCGTCATTCTCCGTAAAGATGCAGATCACGGAGAAGACGCCCTCGGCCACCTTGGGAATGAAGGTCTTCACTGTGGTGCCCTTGCGCAGCTCCAGCATTTCCAGTCCTCCACGGGTGGGGGCATACAGCCCGCACTTGCCGTCCCGGGTGATGCTGCCGCCCCACTTGGCGATGGACCGGACGTGCTTCTTTGTCTTGATGTCCATAACGCTCCCCTTCTCGCTGCTTATCACCGCCACTTGGTTAGCCTTGTGTGGCATGGGGACCAGTGATATGACCTCCTTGATCGAGCAGCCCTTTAACAGGACCTTCGACACGAACGCCCCGTTTGTGGCACTGTAGACGCCTAGGCAATCCTTGTTGGATTTGTCCACTGTGACCACCACAATGTAGGCGTTGTCCGCTGTAATAACCGATTGCCGAAAGGGCATGCCGGTGATCATGCGTATGGGGAAGTCGAAGCGGAAAAGGATCGCACCCTCTGCAACGATATATTTTGTGGGTTGAATTTATTTACTAATTTTATCCTAAATCTCACCTGGTACTGATCGCATCGTTGTTATGGCAGTCAGCCGATTGGCCTCATCCGATAGTCCGCCAGCAGCCGCCGCCAGAATGTCCCGCTGATTGATGTTCGGCACGGAAACCGTGAGAACTTTGTAGCCGTAGTCCATGAGGGTGATCTGCTGGATGCCGGGCTGGTCATCCCGAAAGACTACCTGCTCGGAGACCCGGTTCCAGACGAGGAACTTGCCCGTCTCCGACGATATGATATAGCGGCCGTCGGGCGTGATCTCGGCATGGGTGACGATGGCTCCAAGAGGACTGTCGGCCAGCTTGGCCAACAGCCGACCGGATCGCGTTTCCCAGACGCCCACACAACTGCGGGTGACGGTCACCGCCATGTCCACCTCAGACAGACTGATGTCATCGATTTGCAGCTCGTGACGATCAATGACGTGGACCTTCTCGAATATATTGTTGATGTTCCAAACCTTGACCGATCGGTCGATGGAGGAGGTGACCAGATTGTTCCAGTTGCCGATGGTCAGCGGTTCCAGCTGAATGATGCGCCCGAAGTGGGCGTCTAGTACCTTGGCCAGTTGGCCGGAGTTGAGGCACCACACGTAGAGATTCTTGCGCACCCCGGCCACTGCATAATCCAATTTGGAGCTCACCATGATCGAGTTGGACTGCATGATGCGAGTGGTGATGTTGCGCACACCATGCGGCAGCGGCAGGTAGAGGGCGCCCTCTGTAAGTCGGGACTCCACATCGGTTTCCTTATCCCGGCCGCCAAAGTCCCAGATCACAAATCCCTTGCCAGCCGTGCCCAGGAGCATCCGATCGTGCTGATCCAGGCGTAACTGCAGCAACATCTCCTTTTCGTCGTTCTCGAATCGCGGCAAACTCTCCACCAGAGTCCAGCAGATTTCACCAGTCGCCTCATCCTCAATGAAGTCAAAGACGGACACCTCAAAGTTCTCCTCGTTTGCACAGCCATAGGCCCTGGTCCTCTCCTTGTTCATTACCATGGCGCTGAAGAGCCGCTGGGAGTTGGAGGAATTGCCTCCACGGCACGAGTCCAGCCTCAAACGCATGTCGTTGATGGATCCCGACCAAAACACCACATTGTAATCCGTTGGATTGAAGAACTCCATTGCTAAGTTAGGGATTAAGTTATAATCTTAGCTTTAACCCCGTCTGTTTTCTGTGTAATACTCACTCAAAATCTCCCAATCATCGTTGTCTCCTGGAACCTCAAAGGTATCCACTAGATTGCCGCGCATGTCGAACTGAGCCCAACGAAGCTTGCAGGTGATGAACAAGCTGTAAGGGAAATTTCATGAGTATCCTGTGACATCCCACAGAAATAACTCACTTCTGGTTGAGCAGGAAGAGTCCGCTGACAGGTCCGTGGCTCTCCTCAAAGGGGCTGTTGATCACGACGAACTCGCTGGAGAGCATGTTGAGCAGCACTGTCTGGTTGTTGTTCGAGTAGGCGGCGGCCCACTTGTTGTCCGGACTCAGGACCAACTGCTGCATAATACCCTCGATTCCGGGATTCACATCGCGGGTGAGATCGGAAGTGGACAGGTCGAAGGTGATAAAGTGGGTGGATATTGATACCATGTAGCGCCTGTCGCTGGTTAAGCAGAAAGCAAACACCGCGAACTGGTGGCCCTCCAGGGAATACTACAAAGGGGAGATGAATCAAAGGATATTAATACTATCTATCCCACGACTAGGTCCTACCTTGAGCGGTCCTCCTGGGGTGTGCAGACAATGGTTGACCGGAATGAGGGCACAGTCCTTGGGTCCGCTGTGATCGCAAGCGCGCAGCAGCATCTTGATATTGGGATTTCCCCCGATCTCGGGCAGCAGCCGCCCGATGAGCTGCGGGGCCAGCATATTGGGATAGATGGCCAGAATGGCTCCACCCAGGCGCAAGGCATCCGCCACTAGCATCAGCTCGCGTTTGGCCTCCTTGTCGTCCGTGTTGCTGGAGGCGTCCTCGAAGTCAGCCAAGACTGCCTGAAGTGGACAGCTGGAGAGCTTGGCGTGCAGCCAGTCGTAGTTGAAGAGCACGTGCTCGAACAGGTCCTTGAAGCGACGCGAGCGTACAAAGTGGAAGGGCAGCTCACCAAACTATCAGAAATCAAGTGTTTTAATATAGTTTTTACAATATATGCAGAAGCATTTCCCCAAATTTCCCAAATACCTTGCGTAGATTATAGCGCTTGGAGAGCCCGTCCTTGCTGCTGAAGACCAGCGGCTGAATGGGCACTTTGCGGTCCGCCGAGCCCTCCTTGTCCGCCAATCCAAACCTATGACGCTGGATCTCCGTAAACTTGAAAGGCTTCGGCACTCCGCCGCCCCAGATACCCAGGTAGTAATCTGCAATCATGGAGTGGAAGTAAATGGCCATGTTCATGTTCTTGAAGTAGCGTTCCTTGGCGGTGTCTCGGAATTGCCTGTGATACCAGTTCATCACGTTGACCCCATCTGCCTCCCGTTCACTCAGATAGTTCGGAAGATCATTGCGGATACGGGTCCAGAGCAGAGGGGGAATACGACGCACCGGCGGCATGTGGTATTGGTAGACATCATCCAGCACCTTGTCGTCCAACGAAATTAGATCCTCCAGCTCGCTCTCGGATAGGCCAGACTTCGAGGCGGTTATATAGGCCAGGGCATGGAAGACGAGAATGCGGCCGTGTTGCTTCTCCACCCGCTCGAACAGCAGCATAATAGAGTCCATCACCGTGTTGGCCAGGTGCGTCTCCTGGGGACGCGTGTAGCTCCGCCAGCGACAGATCTCGGCGAAGACGAGCTTCACGAAAATTGGTAGCGAGCACTTGCTGATGGCATTGGCCACCAGACGCCACTGGTAGTTGTTTAGGTCCCTGCAAGCCGTCCTCATCCACATCTTGATCACGTTCATGGCCAGCTCTTCGCCCAGCGCCGTCACCTCGATGAAGTTCTCCTCGACGTCGATCATCTTGCACAGGACATGGTACTCGTGGGACACCGTTGGGTTCGCTGGCTCATTCGCGCACGAAATGATGATCTGGAAGCAGTCGAAAACGCATCTGGTACACAATTTCATGGGGATTCATTAGTGAAAACCATGCGAGGATCGCCTCATGCAGAACGGCCTCCTTGCGGTGTCGTTTTGGGTGAGGTGCCAGCAGTTGCTCTGGTGGCGGTGGCGAGTGATTTTGCTTAGCACGCACAGGTCAAGCAATTGGAAAAACTTACACAGTTTCCCCATTTGGGTTTTTGGGTCATGCGGATTCAGGTACCCGTGTATGTACAGGACTAATGAGGATTGTGATGAGGGTGAGATTGGATTGAAGCAGGGGATCAAGTTCGAATACAGAAGGGGCTGTCCCGTAAAAAGGGAAGGACCTTTATACTAAGTAGATCACCAGAGAACACAACGAGACTAAAATCTTCCTTCAAAAGAATAAACTGTAGTAAACTTCAGAATGAATATCCCTTTCACACGATTAAAATTAAATAACAAGACATTTTTAAAATGTAATGTTTGACTAATTAATTTTGGAGAGAAATACTTTTTAAATGTTTTGAGTTAAGGGATACTTTTGAAAATTCCAATTGTTATAAATATAAACATAATAATACAAACTCAGTTTAGAACTAAAAAGCCCTTCAAGTGTTGAGAAATTATGGAGTACAAATCTAGTGTAAAGATAATCGTTTTATATGGGATATTTATCGATTTTAAAACTATTTTGAAGTTGAAAGAACGTTGTTAAAAATATATTAGAGTCGACGTTTTTAAGGTGCAGTAAAATATTTAATATAGAGAGTAAAAATATCATGCATATAGTGTCAGAGAGATCATAGGGGATTCATTGTATTTACATATAAAATAGAGAATATCATGCACTAAAGGTGCTGAAAAGGAATATCATGCAACGAGGGGTATATATAATAGGTTAAAGCAGGACCTAAGAGATAATAAGGGATTGGTTGTATTTACATGCACTTAGGGCCTAGAGGAATATCATGCATAGAGAGTTACGTAAGTCACAAATAATTCTGGTCAGGAATGCACATGCAGGACTCGGAGTGGAGTCCACAGCCTGACCGGGATGGAGCGCTCACCTTACAATGCGGCGGCAGACGCGTGGGTATCCAGGATACCTTGTTCGAGTCTTGGGTGCCCGTCAGCTGGTCGACTGAGTCGAGGTAGAGCGTGAGCGGCTGGGCGGGGCTGGCGTAAGTTAGTAATTGCTTAAAATGTGCTGTTAAGGGGACAAGATCATCGGGGATATTCTCGAAGGGTAGCATGTAGTTGTAAGAGATCTGCAGTTCGGATAAGGGTGTGGGTGTTGTTGTGAATGCATGTGTGGGTGTGGGGGAGGAGTAAGAGGGAGAGGGTTAGTTCTGGGATACAGGCTGGTGGCTGCTTCTGGATGGACTTCACCTGCTGACAGATGGAAATCAGGGTGGCCGTCAAGGCACTGGAGTCCGGCGTGGTGCCCAGGAAACGGATGACATTGATTGGCCGAGCGTGGGCGAACCATTCGCAGGCCACGAGGGAAGCGCTCTTGGAGAGCAGCGAGGTCTTGCCGCAGCCTCCGTCGCCGAAAAGGACAAGTGGCTTATCTGAATCCCCCAGCATGTAGCGCTTGATACGTTCGCAACTTTCCTCGCGCCCGTAGAATATTTTGACCGAATTGTTGCAAGCGTGCAGATGCTGAAGGATCTCAGTTACTATCTGCCCCTGTGCACTGGAGTCTTCTTTGCGCATCGCCCTATCCACCAGCTTCACCACGTTCTTATAGAAATGCGAGATGAAATGATTCAGGTACTCTTCATGCGTCTCAATGTCCAGTCCCTCCCGTCCGATCCACTCCACGGTGTATCTGCAAAGTCCCGCCCCATCAGATTGGATTAGCATCCGGCTACGCCAGTTTCCATCACTTTGTAACATCTCGGCTCACGTGCTACGCCTTCCTTACTTCTGGGCATTGACCGCCTCAATCTTGGCTGGCAGCCGGGTGTCTCTCAGGTCGCTCATCAGCTTGGCCGCTTCCGTGTCCAGACTGCGATTGATGATGTCCACAAATAGCGAGGCCTTCTTCAGGTTCTGCAGGTTGATATTGTTGATATACCGTACGTAAGCCAGGCAATGGTTCTTCGTATTTTTCACGCTCAGGATTCCGTTGATCACCTCCCGCTCGGTCACTACACGCGGATCAGGGATGTTCAGCTACCACTACGATCGCTACCAGCTAAGGCTACGCACTCACCCGACATGAAGTAGTTGTGCACATCTTCCTTGGACATCTTGTTGCTGGCCCCCAGGGAGGCGGCCGCCTTGCGCAGCAGCTTCTGCATCTTGTTCAGGGTGTCCCACCACACCGCCTGGTCCTCTGCCTGCAGCTTGGGAACGCGCTGTGGAAAGTAGGATAAACGATAGTATAGTCTTTTAATTTATTATAATGTATGCAGATTTGTTTGGCTTCCCGAAGCTAGTTTTCGTTAGGATATGGGATCCTACGGCAAACTCCAATGGAAAATTAAATAAACCTTGAATAGGTTTAGATACGTTGACTAAATATTCCATTAAACATTAAGATTTAGTGATCTTTATTAAACATTATTTAGTTAACTTTAAACAAGATAGAAAGCTAACTTTGGCCAGCCAAAGTTTGTATACCCTTGCAGGTAACAATTAAAATATATCATAACTAAGCCAAAAATGCATTAATTTCAATTCGGAAAGCAGTTTTGTGTTAGTTTTTATTAATTTAAAAAAACTGCATACCAAATTTAAAATTTAAAGAAATCAAAATTTTTGGCCATTTTTGCTTATTTTAATGATGTAACCCCTTATCAAATTTCGCAAAAATGACTAAAAAATCGATTTCTTCCGGACATGTCTAGAAAGATTCCTCTGTTGATGCTGATCAAGAATATATATGGTTTATGGGGTCGGAAATGATTCCTTAACTTAGAAAAATATTATTTTGTATTATAAAATCGGATTTTTTATATTAAAAAACTTCTTGATTTTTTTAAATTGATAATATCATAACTCGGCCAAAAGAGCATTAATTTTAAATCGGAAAACTGTTCTGTCCAAGATTTTCTACAGTTAATAAATCTGCATACTTCATTTAAAAATTTTGAAAATTTAATTTTTTATCAAAATCAAAAAATTTAATGATGTAACCCCTTATAATATATTGCAAAAATTGCCAAAAAATCGATTTTTTCCTGACATATCTAGAAAGATTCCCCTGTTGATGCTGATCAAGAATATATGTATATGGTTTATAGGGTCGGAAACGCCTCCTTCACTGCGTTGCAAACTTCTGACTGAAATTATAATACCCTGCAAGGGTATAAAAATACGGAAGGAACTGTGCCAAACTCACCTTATTGTTAAAGTTAATCAAAATGGACGAGATGGGCTGCAGCACTGAGATGGGGGGCACTGCATTGCTGTCCTTTTTGTACCATAAATCGAGGAGGGCTCGGTCAACGCCCATAGAGGTCAGCTCCTCGCAGATCAGAGCCAGCTCCGAGGAGACAATGTACGTGGGTATGGGTCGGTAGCCGTACTTCTGGCCCAGAAACACAATGAAGTTCGGACCCATCGAGAGGCGCTGACAGTTCTTGATTTCGCGCATGCACAGCTCCGTGGTCATGTGATCGTCGGTGGCCTCGTCTCGAACTCCCCAACGCATGTCCACTACCTGGAACTCCAGGCCGTGCTTCTCGCGACAGTAGTCCTTGATGCGCGGATAGCACTTGGCCATCAGCGTGTTCCGCTCCATGGTGGTGTCTGCGAAAATCCGAATTACATAACCAGGCACTGCTCACACTTTTCACACTTGGCCGACACCCGGCAGCACATCGGCAAAGGTAGAATAGCTAGTGTCTGTTTACCCACCCGTGAACGTGGAGCTGGTGAAGATGCGCACGATTTTCGAACTAACCGGCGGCAGGGACTCCAGGGAGCCCAGGAATATCGAGTCAATGGTACGGTCATCCATGGCTGTCCACTGTTGGTATCTCTGTCTGCTCCAAGTGCCGCAAGTGCAGCTCCGCGATTATGTTCCGCAGCCTTTGAAATCCAATATGTGTCTGCGCCAAAACGGAGACCCAGAAAGTGGCGTAAAGTCGCAGCGGCTGTTTGATCGATAATCCGGATACGTGGCGCATTTGACAGTCGCCTAGTTGACGGTTGTTTTTGAGTTCAGCTTCGCTGACAGCGCACGGCAGTGCGCGGCCTCAAAACGGAGACTCCCCGGGGGAGGATGAGCCGGGATCAGAGTTTCCCCAACAACGGGCAACACCTGTTGATCCCCTCCTTGATTGGAAAGCCATTTCGACTGGCTTTATGGATGTCAGACGCCTGATTGATGTCTGGGCCTCCGGCTTTGACATACAACAAGTGTTTTCAAGTGCTCGGGGCCTTCCCCCAAAAAGCGGGCAACTTGCGTGCCTGGCTTTCATTCGTGACCGATCCGGGACTTCAGGCGTGGGCGTGGGACCACCGCTGGCTGCAACTTTCAAAGTCACCCGGGATGGCGACTGCGAAACGGTGCCACTTAATGGCTTTTCGGGCTCCGGCCTGGGCCAGAGGCTTGGGTAAGTGGGTGCCAGATTTGTAGCCCCTGGTCTGGTCTGGATGTGGGCCCGGCTGTGTCTTACACATTTGACCTCGACCTAGCAGCGTGCGTGTTTACCCAAATAAATCCTCGGGGCTGGTGAGCTTAAAAGGTGGCTTGGCTTACTGACTTCTTACCCGGAAGTTCTGTTTTGGGCCAAGTGCTGCTCGTGTGCCATTTTTATACCCTTGCAGGGTATTATAATTTCAGTCAGAAGTTTGCAACGCAGTGAAGGAGACCTTTCCGACCCTATAAAGTATATATATTATTGATCAGCATCAACAGCCGAGTCGATCTAGCCATGTCCGTCTGTCCGTCTGTCCGTCTGTCCGTCTGTCCGTCTGTCCGTCTGTCCATCTGTCCGTCTGTCTGTTTCTACGCAAACTAGTCCCTCAGTTTTAAAGCTATCTGAATGAAACTTTGCATATAGTCTTCTATATACTCTCACTGCTATATATGTCGGAACGGGCCGGATCGGACGACTATATCATATAGCTGCCATACAAATGTTCGATATATTTTTAGAAAAAAAATTATAACTTTGCTGTTTTTCAACATTTTTGCACCATTTTTTAGATATGGCCACTCTATATTATTTAAGAATTTTGGTAAAAATTTTATGAAAATCGGACGACTATATCTTATAGCTGCCATAGGAACGATCGGGAAATTAATCGAAAAAAATTATAACTTCGTTGTTTTTCAACGTATTTTCATCTACTTTAAGTTATAAGCTTTTTTTATTATTCTAGAATTTTGGTATAAATTTTATAAAAATCGGACAACTATATCATATAGCTGCCATAGAAGCGATCGGCAAATGTATAAAATATGTAAAGCTGGGAATGTAAAACTGTAACTGTCAAACTGTAAACATAATAAGTATAGGTAAAATATAATGAAACTCTGTTTTGTGAGTGTTTTCAGCATTTAAATCTATAATATAAACATCGAAACCAATCTGCAAGGGTATAAAAACTTCGGCGTGCCGAAGTTAGCTTCCTTTCTTGTTAGGCACTGACTTTTGATGGTTGCTCATTGATTTCAAACTTGGGGCAATGTAATTGGGGGAGAAACGTTCAAGATTATCAATTCTGACATGGCTTTGTGGAAAAAAAAATTCTGAGGAGTTTATTTCCATGGTGGTGACTTGGTCCCGTGACCTTTTCAATTTTTGGTGTAATTTAAAGCCTGCTTGGGCAAAGAACTTCAAGGTCGGGCTGCATTGGGGCAGCCCAGTAATTTATAATGGAAATATTTTACATTTAAGGATCATTTTACTTTGCAGTGATTTGAGCCAAAAAGTATGCTGTAATTTTCTTAGCTTTCATTTACCATTGAGATACATATCTACCACTTTTTTTAAGTTTTAAACTTGAAGAGTTGGGAATACATTAACCAATAAATCGAAATTTGTTTACAGAAATGAGTAACACCTCCCAGGAAAACAACACACACTTGAGTTTTATAACAATATATTTATTTGTTTATGTTCGGTTTGTTAGTTTTCAATAAGGACTTTTATGAAATTTTTTTTTTTTTTTTTTTTGTTATTTTTGATGATTTCTGCAAAATTTCGTATTCCAATATATATTTTACTGTATCTTTGCTTATATAGGTTTTAATTTATTTCCCGTACACGATGAATGAAGCTAATGATGATGTTTAATTACTGATGTTACAATGGGGATGATAATGATGATGGTTTGTATAAGAATAGGGAGTTACTTGTAAAATACTCGTTCATATGGGATTCAACTGACATTGCATTACCTTTCCTATGATTTTGAAACGCGTTTAACTAATTTCATTTAAGTTGGCTATAGGATAATGGAGACTATATTCTATATAGGCTATAGGTGTTAGTTCCGTTTTGTTTTTGTTTGTTTTCAGAGAGATAAAAACTTGTTAATCACTTTTCTTTAGGGACTGTCGCGCAAATTAAATTAACTACGATTTAGCATTGCTTGCGAATGCCATTTGGGTTTATATATATATATCATATATTATATCATGTAGCTATATTTCGATAATAAATAGTTAAACATATTGAACTAAACAGTAATCAAATAAAAATGGTAAACAACTAATAAAAAAAAATAAGAATTACAAGTTACAAACTGCAGCCGCGGTGGCCGCGAACAGACAAGGATGCGTCTACTACGGCTGGCCATTCTGGTGGACCACTGGCACCGTTAATCCCATCCTGGTCGGTGCGGCCGGCGTTGGTTTGGCCGCCGAGGCTGCAGACTTTGTGTCCGGTTTGGGGGCCGGTATGGCTTTGGCCGCCACTGCCAGCTTATGAATGTGTGGCGACGATGGCGACGTCACTGTTATTCTACAATAAGAAAAAGCTAATGGTTTACACGCACACACACGCGGAGGAGTAGGGAGCGGAGCAGGGCGTGGCGGAGCAGCGGATGAGAGCGGAGTGGAACGAGGAGTTGTTGTGTGTTTGATTTTGTCACATACGCATTAACATATTTACACGCATCGTTTTTCGGGTGTTTGGTTTTTATGAGTTTGTTTTGGGTTCAGGCAGGAGGCGTTCATTCGTTGGTTGGTTGTTTGGAGCATTGCAGCATTGACGGCGGTTGTCGCGTTGGTTTTTGGGGTCATTTGTGGATGTGGAGGTGGGCGGCGGATGGTGGATGGTTTGCATGTATGATTTAATTATTTAAATTAGATAAGCCGGCAATAGCAACAGACCTTACAGACTATAGCTAACTAGCGATAGGCGATATTAAGAGGCGGACAACTAGAGGGTGAGAGAGAGTCTACGCTGTGCTTGGGCCTTAATGCTTGTGCTGCTGTCTGCTGTTCGAGTTGACTTCGTTATCAGCGTACCTAGGGCTGTTGTCTTCCTTTTCAAAGACCACGGTCCGCGTGGTGCTCACAACGGGTCCGTTTCCGCCACCAATGCTGCCGTTCAGTGACTGCTGTGAGCTGCGCTTTACATGCACGGGCCGCAGTCGCTCCTCCAGGTCGCTGATGGAGCCCACAGAACTAAGGCTCTCGTCGCTGCAATGCAAAAATCATTAGTTGATGTCCCGGTAATGGTGCAGTTCCATTTGTAATTACCTCTCGCTCAGCTCCTCCTCGCCCTCCTCTTCCATGGCCTGCTGCAGATCTGCTATCCGTTGCAGGGCCAGGCGCAAGTCGTTCTTAAGCGCCGCCCCCTCCGATTCCATTTGCTCCATCTTCTTCTCGAGATCCTTGCGGCGGGCCAGCGACTCCTGTTCGCGGCTAGAGACCGTGTGGAACTCCTCGCGCATGTCGCGCAGACTCTTTTGCGACTTTTTGAGCACATCCTGGGCCTGCATTTCGCGCATCTTCGACTGGGTTACCTCGTTCTGAAGTTTCTCCAGGGCCTCCTTGTGACGATTCACCTGCACCTCCAGTCTAGCCCGGGTGGCCTGTTCCAGTTCGAGACGGGATTCCAGCTCCTTGGTGCGTAGCTCCAAGCTGTTCAACAATTAATTATTTAAGTCATTATTAATTTAAAAAATAATGAAAATGATATTGGTTAACTTACCGCTTGGACATCATGGCCATAGAGGGATCACCCAGGTTCTCCACATTATCCAGACGGTGCTGCAGATCGGTGACCTGCTCCTTAAGATTGTTACGCTCGGCCTCCATCTCATTGAGCTTGAACTCCGCCTCGGAGACGTTGATCTGTTCGGCATTTAGCTGCTTGACGGTGGCGCTGTACTTCTTCATCAGCTCGCTCATCTCCTCCTCGTTCTCATCGATCTGTGCCTGCAGCTCAACCGCCTCCCTGTTCGCCGCATTGGCCCTCTCCTCGGCATCGTTTCTGCCCCGATGTGACTCCTCGAACATGGCCTGCACTTCGGTTAGTTCCGCTTCAGCTGCTTGCCGCGCCTTGAGGGCTAGTGTTCGAGCGGATTCGGCATCTTCCAGCTGATTGCGCAGCTGACGGATGAGCGTTTTACCGGGCGTGTCTGCCTTAAGCCTCTCCAGCTGCGTCTGGGCATCCTTAAGCAGGGCCTTATACTTGCGCAAGTCGCGTCGCAGCTTCTGGTTGAGTGCCTCCTCGGCATCGCGGTCAACACGGTCACGATCCTCCATCGAGGAGAGGCGTCGCTCCAGCTCGTGTTTCTCGCGCAGCAGCAGGGTCCGCTCCTCGTGCTCCGTCTCCAGCTGGCACTCGAGGGCCTTGATCTTCTTGTAACCATTGCCACGCACCTCCTCCAGTTCCTCGTCGCGCTGCTGTGACTCGCGACGCGCCTCCTTGCGCATCGTTTCCAGGGACATCTCGAGACGCAGCTTGGCCTGCTCGAGCAGCTGTATCTGTCCTGCCATTTCATCCAGCTCCTCCTCCTGCTCCTTGGCCCTACGCTCCGTTTCGTTTTTCGAGCGTCGCAGCTGGGCAAACTCCTCTTCGGTGCCACCGCCAAAGGTCATCTCATCCAGTTCACGCTGCAGCGAGGCGAGTTTCTCCTCCTTGAGCTCAAGATCTAAACGGGTATCCTGGAAAATTAATTAATATTTTATATTAAGTCTCCAATTACACATAAATAAGGATTTATCTATGAATTTATCACAGTTAATCAGTGATAGATTAAGTATGTATTCATTGCTATATAATAGCCTGCACTGCCCATTTAGTCAACTTAATGAACTCTGCTTTCTGGAGTTTGGATCTAGGCTTTGTGCCCATTCGGACTCACTTGAATCATCAGCCGAGTTGAATAGCGGAAACTCATGGCTGTACTTGTGCTTGGCTGGGAAATTGTCTCTATGTGTCTCTTCGGTGTGCCTCCGTCTCGGGGTTTATGGTATCTAAATCGCAGCAGTGGCCAGTTCAGTTATCGCCCTCCATGGAGGCTCTTCCTCTGCCAGCTAATTATGAGTATCGAAAGCGTAATGAGAACGCCGCCGCCAACGTTTTAATTTCTTTTTCTTTTTGCCAGGCCGAGCAATCAAGAACACTGCAACAGACGAAACGAAGGCAACGGAGGCCAGAGACAGCTCTATGTACTCCAGTTATCGCACGTTGACGTTCGTCGAGCTACTGTCGAGCGGAACAATGAAGAAAGCGGCAAAGCGGAGATCCACAAATGTGTGACCGAATCGCCCGACTCTGAGATACGGAGATACAGAGCGACGAACTGAGAGAGACCCAGAGAGAAAGAGCAGAAGGAGGGAACGCCTCGAGTACAGGCCGATAAAAACACAAGAACCGAGAACTGACAAACCCAAAGATCTCGGAATGGAACTAGGCGAGAGAGCGAGTCGCACATGCCGCACATGCGTGCATGTGCCGAGTGCTCGGTGTGGGCAGGTAGGCAGGCGGCCTAGACGGAACGCAGGCGCAGGCCATGGGCAAACAAGCCGAACGAGTTTCCGAGCCCGAGATATGCAGTATCTGTATCTGTATCTCGGCTGCAATGTGCGCAACGTGCCGCCACTTGCTGGCGCACACTGGCCAGCAAATTTGAGTATCTTATTCCTACCTGACCTACACAAAAAAAATTCAAATTTGTTTATAATCGATATTTAATTACACTTTTCTCGGGAAACCCATTTAGTATATCCCATTTTTATCGAAGAAATTAAAGCTTTTCCTGGCATTACAAAATATCAAACTATCAATATTTTGCTTCATTTTTCAATAAATCATTTACTTGCTGAAGATTTTTATTAGTGTTTATTAGTTACAACAAATTGCATACTAATTTGAAATTTAAACTAAAAACCAACCAACCAACCAAAAATAAATTAATGCTGATATATAAGAAAATAATAAAAATAATTTACTCAACAGATTTAAGGTTTCTTTTGCCAAATTAAAAAAAATATGCCCCGCTAAAATCCCAATTTCCTGCAGAATAGTGTTATATCGGAACTCATGTTGCTTGCGACTGTCGCCGTCAACATGTTTCGCTGCAGCATGTTCTTCGTCAACTTGTTGCTGTGAGAAGCAACATGTTGCCTACGATTATGTTGCAGGAAACACACTTCACTTTAAGAGACTACTTACCGCCAGTGACTGCTCTAGCGTGAACTTCTCGGCCTGCAGAACGTCCTTCTCGCGACCGTAACGCTCCTTGGCCTGGCGCTCCTGGCGCGCCGCATCCTGCAGGGACTGGCACTCGGCGTCGAACTTGCGCTGCTTCTTCTCGAGCAAATTGTTGCGGGCATTTTGCTCCTCGAGCAGCATGCGCAGATCGTTCATCTCGTTGGTCATCTTCTGTGCCTTGCGTTTCCATTGGCCCACAACCTGACGTTGCTCCTCAACTTCTTCGTAGGCATCGGAAAGCTGTGGGAGGGTGAGATTAGTATATCTTGCAGGGAACTCATTGATCTCTCCAGCAAACCTTCTTCTCCAATTGCTTCTTGAGCCCGACCAGCTGTTCCAGATCGTGCTCATGCTGTGTGTGCAGCCTCCGCTTGGTGAACTCCAGCTCCCGGGCCACCCGCTCGTACTTGAGCTTGTAGACTCCCCCGCCACCGTCCTCGTTCTCGGCATCCTCGTCCTCGGATATGCCATTCAGATCGGACTTGGCGCATATCAGCTCCATCTCCAGCTTCTCCGTCGTCTCCTGCAGGTTTTTCACCTTGTTCGCCTGATCGCCGAGCTCCTTCTCGAGCTTTAGGCGCTCGGCGGTCTCCGCCTCCAATCGCTCGGTGGCTATGTGGGCCGTGGATCGCTCCTCGGCCAGGTCCACAGTCAGCTCGGATAGCTGGAGGATATTAGGAAAATATAGAGCATTCAATTTTAATTGTGTGCCAGTTTTCTCAGGGAATTTATTGTCGTATTATTTGACTGTTTGTTTGGCTTTAGTTTGTGCGATCTCTACTTCTGTCTGCCATGTGTCTAAACAAGTGAGATCATTATTTATAAAACCAACATTTGCCCGGAGTAGCGGATATACATATATGTGTTGATATATAGTGTGGGATGAACTTCTAACCTTGAACTGCTGAAGTACAAAGAGGAAGTTACACTTCCTAAAATAAATTTCCAGATATGGATATGTAACTCAGATAAGCTTTGCCTAAAATTATTATTTTAAATGTTATTAAGAACTTCTATAAAAAACTTATATTTTAATTAATAACGACAAAAGCTATTTTGTATAATTTCCCATTCCTTTGACGTCGTTTATACTAGAGATCTAGGAAATACGTTGGCAAGAAAAATGGACTAAAAATCGCACAATACACGAGGAAATTACTCATACGTAGGATCATTTACTTGGGCATAGATCAAAGCGTCACTCTCTGACAAAAAATGCTCCTATTCAATCTTGTTCCCATGACACAAATTGAAACGAACTGAATGATAGAGAAGGTCGGTTCATTGCCTTCTAATAAAATAGTATTTCCAGAAGAATAATTTTTGGAAAACACTTTTCCATAGCCTCTAAACTTTTAATATATTTTCTTTATTTTGCCCCAAATGCCGCAGATGAGAAACAACAATTATTATGATTATGAATATGGAATCTTTTCCTCCTCCGCACTCAAAGAATTCCGCCGTGTGATTCACGAAATACCCAACCCCAAAAATAGATGCTCCTCCTCCGACTCAGGTGTGGGGTGGGCGGAGATACTTTGCCGCTGTCAATGTCAGCGCAGCATGGAGGCCCCATATCCCCATCCCGTTGAGACGGTGGTGTTTGTTTAGGAATTTATGAGGATTTATGGGGTGGAGACATCATCACCCGCACTCAAGAGCACTCAGTATGGAACAGAGGCGGGAAATTGTGTCAACGACAAGCTCAAGGTTAGCCCAACAAAGACAACAGCAACAACAGGAACACGATACCTCATCATCCTCCTCGCGAATGGTACGATCATCGTCGTCGTCGTGGTCCCCGTTGGTCAGGCTAATGGTGGCCACCGACGACTCCCGATCTCTGGCCACCGAGTTACCGCGCGACGTCGGTGTGTGTGGCAGCTGCTTGGCCAGCTGGAAGGCCTTGGTCAGGATGTTTTGGGAGGAGCGAGTGCGTCCCACCGATCCACATCGCTCCATACTGTTCCGTTCCCGCTGTCGCTCGATCAGCGAGATGGTGTCGTAGTCATCAAATCCGGAGCAGGTGCTCCCCGGCGTGGTGCAGCGACTATCTGGTGCTCCGCCGCCTTTGCCACTTCCACTGGTCGTCCTGCGCGTCCTTCTGCCCATGGCCGTCCACTCCTCCTGGACATGGTCGGTGCGCTTCAAGAAATTCTGGATCTTCTCGCTGAGATAGGCGGACGAAGTGCGCGGATCCTCGAAAGACGGCGAGGCACGCATCGACTGGTGCACCGGCTGGCGCTGGCATCCGAGGACAAACGACAGGTTGCCGTCGAAGACCACGGGCGAACTTTCCAGCTGCCGCATCTCGTACGGATCCACTCCGCCCGATCCCCGGGTGTAGGTCTGTGGGAATATCCTTCGCGGCGGCGTTTGCAGACGCGAGCTGGACTGGTAGTTGGAAATCGAGGACTGGGTGGAACAGCGCGACGACACGGAGTAGGCGGGGCTGGGCGAACGGTTGACCAAACGCAAGCGATCGCTGTCCGTTCCTGTGGGCGAGTTGAGTGGCAGTTTCAGCGAGACCTCGTACGGGCTTTCAGAGTCCTCCGGGGGAACGTTCTTATTACCCAGCAGGGACGACGATGAAAGCGACGAGCTGCCTCCACTGCCACCCGTGGTCCGTGAGGTGTATTTGTGGAGGATGCTGCTACTGCTAGTGTTGGTAGTGTTGGTGGTGGTGGTGGTCTTGATGTGATGGTTCGGTGTGGGTCGTGTGGTGTGGCCATTGCTCAGCACGGGACTCTGCTCCCGCTGCTTGGGCAGCAGACGGATTTGTTTCCGCGCCTGGCTGCTCGGCGGCTTAGGAGGTCGCGCCAAGGGGGCGGAACCACTCAAGGTGGAGTTTAGCGAGGAGCCGCTGCTATTGTTGGTGGAGCCAAGGGCTCCCAGTCGGGGGCCACCGTTCATGGCTGCCAGCACGCGGGCCAGGAACTTCTCCTTCTCCAATCGGTCCGATGCTACAGGGCCAGCATCCGCATCTGCATCTCCCGAAGCTGCAATGTCAGCAGTGGCCTCATTAGCAGGCGACAGGGGAGGCATGGGCTCGGATTAGTGGCAAGCGGGGAGGAGGAGTAGTGGGTTAGAGGGTGTCGGGTGTTTAAGGGTCTGGGGACTAAGAGATTGGGGGTTCGGGGTGGTGGTGGCTCGGGTATTTGTTTCTGTGCAAGTTTCCTTGGCCAATTTATGTCGAATTCTTTTTTTTTTAGTTTGCAAAATTTCGAAATTTCTGTGTCGTTTTGTCGTGGTTCGTTATATCAATCGAGTTGGTTTTCGGTGTCGTTGTTCTTGGTTCTTTTTATTTCTTGTGGTATTGCTGGGTATTATATATGGGAACCATGCTAGGGGCTGTCAAAAACTTGAGACCGTTGATGCAATTTAAATTTATCTCGGGCTGAATTTTTTTGTGACTTGTGCACGCGCCAGCAGATTTTCCTTTGTTTTCGCCGGGCTTTTATTGCTTTTGGCAGCGAATTTCACATACACGCACGGCAAGGAAACGACGAATCGAGATGGGATCGGATCAGATTGGATCGGATCGCATCGAATCTCCCGGACACGGCGCCACGGGCCTCAGGCGTACGCGACGTTTTCTCGGCGACTAAGCGATGCGTACGGACGGATTTTGCTTCGGTGCTGGCCAGAAAGCGAAAAAAGCTCCTCGCCTTTTGGCAAAACCAACGAGAGACAGAACGAGAGAGACATAGAGAGAAAGAGTGGAATCGCAAAGAGCCGAAGAGGCGCCATCGAGCCAAGTCAATTGCAACATCGGTAGCAGTTCCGCCTATCACATAATCTATGGTCCCACGGTCGGCTGTTGCTTTCGGCCAACTGTTGATCCAATAATTTGGCAATCATCGGGGGGAGATCTAGGGAATTATGTAAATCGAACTGAGGCTGAGGGCAGTCGCAGATTCTATCGCATATCCCGTCCCAGCTGCAACTCAACTGTAGCGCGACAAAGTATTATTAATGATCTTTTAGAGCATTTAAAAATACATCTGGCTGTTCTGGCGAGCGATATGTGCGAAACACTGCCGAACGCAGTATCCACATCGCATCCCATCCATCTCCACCAGAACGCACACATACTATATACACACTCTCAGAGTCAGAGTCAGTTGGTGTTCAATGCCCAAAGTGCTATTTTTGGCCCACTTCAAAAACCAAATAATACAAATGAAGGGGGAATGGAAATCCACCAGCGAATTGTGCATCTTTCGTACAGCTTGCCGGGGGAATTGTAAACGATCTTTAAACTTATTAAGAGATTCAACTTATTATCGTTTATTAAGTAAAGATATTTAGGTTGTATTTGGTTTTGAGAGTATCTCTGGATTTGAAAATAATATATAAATCAAACGCCATAAAATATAAACTCTGTAACTAGCTAGAGTTTAACTAATGCTTCTTTATGCAAACACCAAATTATAATACCTATTCTTCTTGCCATAGTATCTATTCTGATTCCTTGATATCAAGCAGAAATGGTTTCTCTAGATGTAGCAATTGCCACTGCAAATACAATCTAAATATATGAGGCATTTTGTTTCTGTACCCGCAATGGTTAAATCTTTTGGCGCCCCAGATATCTGAGCGCTGCCAACGCCAAACAAGATCACGCAGATGACATTTCGTGTCAAGTGGCGCAATTTTAATTGCAGACCACGCCAGACCAGACAGCGGTCCATCAGATGAAAAGTTGACTCACCTTGGCTTCCAGCTTCTGGTTCTCCGCCTTGACCTCACTGCGATCGCACTCGATCTTCTCCAGCTTGGCCCGTAGCATTAACAGCTCCTCGTTGGCTGTCTTCAGCTGCTCTTCAGTGCGGTGGACATTGAGTAGGGGCGTTACCCGGACCAGAAGACGCCACCAGGGCCAGTCGCGCACGGCTAGGAAGGCCTTAACATTGCGTTGGATGCAGCGCACAGCCAATTCCTGGGGGGTTTATCATAGAAATTATTTAGGAGGATGAATATAGAGGGGATGGTCTAGGGATTAATTACCTGAACACGTCGCTGGGACATCTTTTTGCGAGCCAAATAGCCGCGACAGAAGGCTTGCAGCTGAATGATGCGATCTGAAAGCAGGACATCGCGCTTGGCTTCCAGTTCACTAAGAACTCCAGAGCGGAAAAGGATCTAAAAAGAGCAGGCAAGATTTAAGGATAAGTAAGTTAGTATATTATATAATTTCATTTTTCGTTGAATTATGTACATCCCTATTCAGGTGTCAGGTGCACAATCAACCCTAAGAGCGAAGCACAATCTCAGAAATAAACAAAAACGAAAACAAAATCAATTCAATTCAAGGAAGTGAAGGTCAAGGTGGGTCTGACTTGCAAATTAAGACTGAGATTAATGCAACGGCAGCGGAAGAAACATCCAGAGCATGAGCTATGGCGATTCGAATTTCGAACACCTGTGCGCAAAAAAAGATGCCAAAACTCTTACAGGTGTGAAAGTGGGAAGAGGGCAATGAAAACAAAATTGTAAACAAGATATTGCCATAAAGCCAGGCCACAGCGGGTGTCGAGTGGAATGGTGCCCTCCTAATGGCGGTTCATGCAGGTGGAAATGCACATAGTCGAGTGAGTATCTGTGGCAAAGGTGTTTAGCATACTTAGGGCCACCGGGTTCCCATACAAATTAGCTGCTGGCCCGGCGCACCTTTGAGGTGTGGCTCCTATTTGCCTCTCTGTTACTCTTTCTCTCTGTCAACGCCGAATTCGCGACTAAGTCGAGAAACTATTTTCTCGAAATTTTAATTATGCCCGGCACGTAGACAAAAATGAAAGTAAACCAATGTGAAATGGCAAACCGAAGCGTCGCATCGAGTGTGTGTGGCTCAGTCATCGTAAACTGGCGGCTGGATGCACGGACTCTCGGATGTGGCCACTGGGATGATACAGGGTGTGGTAGGTATCAAAATATCGCCAACTGAAGTGCGTCTCGGAAGCAAAAGAAGCTGTGTGTCTAAACTATCTACTAAAACAAATAAAAACTATATGTTGAAAAGCGTAAGACTTGGAGAAAGCGCGAGTACTCATTGAACTTTATAAACAGACATTTTTAGAAAAGGGTGACCAGCGAATAAAAAAATGCAAAAGGAAATCTCACATTTCCAAAGTAAATTATAAGTTATAGATGCTATATACATAAACCGTAAATAAATATAGCAATAAGAGAGGGATTTGCAAATGGATAAATAAGGTTACAGGTTGCTGCCAGGGGTTTATTATTTTAATTACTTGTCATTCATAAACTTAGCATACTAAATAGATAATATAAACCTCTATCTCTCTTTGTTAAGGGTATTTTCAAGATAATAAATTAGTTACTTTATTATAATGAAATCGGTTTAATAATATAAATAGATATATATAACACGTGGGGCTATAATTCACTGACCATTGGACTTTTAAACTACCTGATCTTCGACATATTCGCGGCTTAATCCGCAATATAGGCAGACAATATTACAATTATTTATGCGGAAAAATGTACGTTTTGTAATTAAGTAAATAATTAATACAATAAAAAATCAATAATATAATAATTCAAGGTTAATCAACCCAAAAGCTTATAAAACTATTGTCTACATAAGATTGACAAAGAAGTCTTCCCCCTTGGGTGAACATGCTCTAGAAAACCAGAAGTTAGGGCTTCAGCTATATCAAGATCGGGGAAAATACAACTAAAGCGGTAGGTTGAGGAAAGGGATAGTGCCAGCCGGAGGAGAGGAGGAAAGATAAACCCATAGCAAGTGGTTTTGTACAATAAATATTTATTCCATTTACAGCAAACGTTAGATAAGTTAGATATAGATAGAGGCAAACCAGTGGTGGATGCAGCTGAGAGTTAAGATTGGAGAGGCTGGGGAGGATCGGAAGCGGGTCCGGCTCTGCCGCTGCCTGGTCAATGCAGCTGCATAGTTACCTCTTTCGTGTAGGTGGGGTAAATCTCCACCTGAGTCTGGATGCAGCGCACCGCTTGTACTTGGGCCACCACCTTGCTGGCCACCACCGGTGGGCAATGGCTGTGTGGTGCGTTGGCTGCACTCTGCTTTCCGGCCGCGGCAGCAGCCTCAAACTTTTGTAGCAGTTCGGCGATCTTGTTGGACTTGGAGCAGTTCTTGGTTCCCGGCGGCACCTGCTCCTCTGCCTCGTCTCCCTCAGATTCGCAGAGGCTTCCAGTGGAGTTGCTGGTGGAGGAGGTGGACGTGGAGAGCTGCGTGTTGCTAATGTGTCCTGAGTCATCCGAGTCCTCTTCTTGCTCCGCCCTGATTTCCTTGGTCGGTTTCTTGAGGGGTGGCTGTGTTACCGACTTCACTTCCTGCACCACCTTGACGAGTAGCTCCTGGTTTTTGTCAGATGTCTCTCCCAGTTTCGGCGGTATGATCTTGCAGGACTCCAGCTTGGGTCTGCCCACCTTTTCCTCGTTGGCGTAGTGCAGCTTTTGCAGCTTCTTCTTGTTCCTCACCAGTTGCGAGTGCTCCTTGGTGACGCCCCGACTGCCGGTTCTCTTGGGCTTTGAGCTCATGTTCTCTACCTGTCGCAGGATCTCCTGACCCTTGGCCAGGCACTTGACCAGCAGCTCATCGCTGTTCGCATTGGGGGAGTTCGATTTTAAGGCTCCTCCTCCTGACTTCAGGGTGGAGTTGGCTCTCCTGGCTGCTGGTCTGGCGGTTATGTGGCGCTGCTCCAAACTGGAGTTGGCCCGCTTCGGCATGGCTGCTTGGGCTGGAGCTGGAGCTGAAGCTCTCGGAGGTGGACGAGCTGCTGTATTAAGGGTCAACATAGAGCGGGTGCGCTGCTTACTGGTCGGTCTCAAGGCCACAGGTTGCTCCAGGCAGAAGCTCTCGCTTCGCTTACGGAGACTCGACTGCTTTCGTACGGGAATCCTGCTGCCACTTAGGTCGCTCAAGGAATTGTACCGCGAGTCACCTCCTGCACCTCGCAGCAACAGGATAGACCCGGCCATTTCCGGCGACTGATACAGCTGCATCCTGGTCCTGCCTATGCTCAGGGTGCTGTGTGACTTGGCCAACATCATCGGCTGGCGATCGGAAAACTCTGCTGGCGGAGCGGGCAGCTCTTCTGACGGAATCCTCTTCAGCGGAGGGTACTCGTTGAGTATATGATCGAAGCTTTGCAGCACCTCGTTCAGCTTGCTCTCGTCGTGGGCCACCTTTTCCAGCTCCGCGAATATCTCGTCCTCCAGCGACTGCTGGGCCAGGCTGAGGCTCAGACTCAAGTGGCTCTCCTCGTCGCTGTCCACGTAGCTGCACACGCTGCCGGTCATCTGCTGGTTCTGGAGGGGCGCAACAGGAATTACAGGCACTCCCTTGGGCGTGTACTTGCCGCCCACGCAGCCTCCGTCCACCGTGCACAGGGCACTCATGGATCTGGTGTGCTTACTGCCCTTGTAATACAGCTTTCCACTCAACTTGGGCGTCAGATTATCCTCGATCTTGTGGCGAATATGCGAAAAGAACTTCTTGCCCGCTCCCAAGCCATGCTTGTTTGGGGCGTGTGTGGGCGTGGCGGCTGCAGCAGGCGAAGGACTGCTGCGCACCTGGGCCAATTTGGACTTGACCGTGTGCTTGTACATTGCCCTGGGATTATGTAAAGCAATTGACCAGCGACTGGCGGCGGTACGGCGAGTAAAAGTGCATATAATTTCGCAATAAATTGCAGTTTCCTTTTCAATGTCCACTGTCCACTGTCTACTGTCCAGCACTTTCACGGCTCGGCTCGGGCGGCGGCGACGGCGACTCTTGTGTGGATGTGGTATGGTGTTTTCTCTTCGGGCTCGGCAACGCAACTGAACTGAACTTGCTAGCTGGCCAAAGCAACGGAGTCCGAGTCCGAGCCAAATGCTGGCTCTGCATTCGAAAGTGGCTTATCGAGAAACGGCTGGCACATAAGCACAGCATAACCCAACGCAGCACAACACCACACAAAACAGACTTGGCTGAGGTCGCGGTCGCTGGTAATTGGCCGAGGGAAAGGGGCACCGAGTGAATGCACCAGCCGCCGCCGATCCTCAAGTTGGAGCGACGATGCTAATTACCAGCCACCAACCATTGGCCACACATGCTCGACCTGCAGTTACCCAGCATAATCATCGCCTCATCGTCATCCTCATCATCATCATCGTCGCAGTCAAGGCAATCACAAGCGAAACAAGTGAGGCAATAGGCTAGGTCTGGAACTGCACTGGCTATTTGTTGTGTTTCCATTTTGCCTTTTCATTGCCAGCAATTGGACTCGCCCTGGCTGCCGCACAAAAGATTCAAAGAGATGTAGCCACGGATGGGCATGGCAAAAGTGCCATGTTCATTGGGGACAAACAAATATTGGTATAGGCCGCGAGTGTAAGCACTGTGGTCTAGACTTTAGAGGTTGCAACACGGTTGAAAGGTCGTTAACCAGAGCGTGTTCTAGGGACATGGGTTCGGTAAACAATGTTATGGTCAGTAAAATACAAAAAATAAATATTGATTACACTAAACATAACCAAGTTCGAATAGAAAGATATAAAGCTAGGCAGTTAATCTGCACGTGACTTGAAAAAACAGTTATCTGAAATTAATCAGGCCATCGCCCCGCAACCTTAATAAAATCTATAAAAACTATGCAATTTTCCGAGACAATTATACATTATGCCGCATTTTAAGATCAGGAAATCCTTGTAGATTAACCATTATTATCCAGCTCGTGACAGAGAATCCGCTGTAACGATGTCATTGGGGCTTCCCGGTTGCTGTACCCTTCGTGGCCACAAATTGAGGCAATTACAAGAAAACCGAAAACTGATGAAAACAAGTCCGGCCAAGAAGTCGAAGATGAGATTACAGAGCCCGGCGAAACGCATCTCACGCAGCTTCCTGGTTATTGTTTCATAATTAAAAACTAGTTTACATATGCAGGGCTCGTCCCGTGGGCTTGGAGATTAAAGCTGCTAAAGACGCCAGCCGCGCCCCCATCCATGGGGAGGCGTTAATGAAGTTTTCGTGTCTCGATAGCGGGCCTTTGTTTCCACATTCGACTCGATCTCGGGAGAGCTAATTTGGAGTTGATTTGGGAGGTAGTTTCACCCTCTGCCCCTCCGATGGCGTTGACAGAACCCGCCTTGGAGGGGCTTATGTAATCACAGACACACACTCGGAAACCAGACAACCATCAGCCACCGAGGCGTGCGTGCCACTCCCCCTGGCATTTCTAATGAAAGCGAACGCTGGAAGTTTCACTTTGGTCGGAGGAAAAAAACTTTAATGTGCACTGGTCAAATGTGGTTTCTGTGCGAGGCGAATGCAGGTTGCAACGTCATTTTGGATTTTTGTTTTGCTCGCTGTTTTTAGTTTTTTTTCTGCCTTTTTTCTTGGTTTTTTTGGTGAAAGTCGACAGCGTTGGCTGTGCGTGTGTTCGTAATCATAATCGGGAGGGAATCGGTATTGGTTTCGGATTTGGACACTTTCCCGTACGTACAAGCCAGAGCCCGACAATGGCACAGCCAGCACTAGCGACGGCCAGTAGTCCCAGGATTGGAAGCTCCTCGGGCCCCGCACCACCGCCACCATAGAGCAGCCTAAATAGGCTCAGGAGCTGATCACTGTCGCGGGATGATCGGATAGCACTGGCACTGGCGTTGCCGTTGCCCCATGGCAGACAGACGGAGCTTTTATCCGACCACATCTCGTCGAGAGCTCGCGAAATCCAACTGAGCTGCGCAGAGAAGACGCCGTCCGTCTTCTTCGCCAGAGATTACATCGGGGGAATTCTACACCCGAGCCAGGCAGCCAGCAACAATGGCGAGATGAACTTGACCGTGAAAGCAGTCAGCGTCATCGCAGATACAGAGCGGAGGAAGAGCCGCAGTGGGTAGAAGACGAGCAAACTGGACTGGCTGCCAGTGACGTCAAGTAGTGGCTTTATTACGATCACTTCACCGTCCACCGACCACTGACCACCGAGCCCCTGGGCAAGCCAGTGCCCAGAAGCGCAGTTCGATTTACAGTTGCAGCGATGAGAACAGGAAATAAGAAGCCCAGGCGACCAGCCAAGCGGAGAAGCCAGGGAAGCTGCATGTAACAGATATCTTCCCATGGGTCCCGACCACACCCGCGTCCAATGCTCTAGAGCCTGTTCATCGGGCATAGGTCTTTGGTGAATTTTCTGAATTCGGAATGGTTATTTAATGCTATGATTCTGACTGTAACAATTTCGAATGAAACTGCATTAATTAAGAAATGAATCCTGAAGCTGCTATTAAAAGATAACCTAAATTAATTCGAAATATGAAATCTTTAAATCATGAATCACCAATATTTTTAATTTATTCTAATTTACTAATTGTTTGTCAAATTTTGTATTTTATAAATTTTGGGATCAACACCCTATAGTTATTATATTTTTACGTATTTTTTGGAGAGAACGATTAAGAATAATAATTTATTTTATGGTTTTATTATTCGTATAAAACACCAATAAAGAAGTTATGAATTAATTAAGCAAATTAACAATACATTTCAGTTCAAATTGTATTGCATACTTTTGGAAATCTTATAAAGAAATACGATTTCCTAAAATATTAGCTACAGTTTAATGTTTTACCTTATTTATTAAAAGTAAAATTAATTACACTTTTAAAAGAAAAAGCTTAAAATTCCTCACGACTTACACGACAAAAGATAAAGTGAACAGAAATGCACACAAATAATTTTTATTCATTAGGTTTTCCTTTTAGCACATGCCCACGAAAAATTCGCCAGGTGTAAGATTTTGCTAAAAATGTCTCACTTACGAAATCGTTCTATAAAAAACAAAAATAAAAAATACGTGAATTTCCCGTTCTGAGCTTTACGATTTCGCAGGGAAGTAAATTCTCAGCATCAATGTGAATTAGTCTTAATTTACAGCATAAATTAAGCCAAAGCTTTAATATATTCTTATTCGATTAGAGGCTGAAGAAAGAACTATTGGGCATTTTGGTGAAAGACTCCGAAGACAAATGAAATCGATCTATCAATTCGTTAAGTCATGCTTACTTTGTTTAGGCTCAAAAAACTTGCGGTGAGTAACCAGTTTGGGGGCTTCCTCCTAAGGTGAGCGTTGCTGTGGACTCATCTAGAAAGGGATCTCGCGATGATTGAGAGGTGGCCATTTAATATAATAATTGCAGGGTAAGCCCCAGCCAATGAATGAAAGTATCCTGACGAGCCGGCGATTGTTCGTCGCATGCCAAAAGCAATTACTTGAGGCTGCGGCCAGCAAAAACGTTTCAATATACCTGGCAAACGACGGCGAATGACAGCCGACGAATTCCAAGGTAATTTCTCGATTAGATTGAAAGTAACAGCAAATTGTTTGGACAAATACACGGAACAATGGCGACGACGGGTTTCGGCTGCGTCTCGTTTCGTTTCGTTGCGTTTGAGATAATCATAATAACAATAAGTACGTATTATGTATTTGCCTTAAAACGTAAATCCTGTCAATAAACTTTTTGTAACAAGTCGTCGCGAGGCACTCGCCCGGGTTTAACGATCTCGAAAAAAATATCTACATATCTACATGTTAACATGAGCATGAATGGGGCTCAAGCAAAAAAAAAAAACAGAGAAGAAGCAGGCATTTAAGCCACAAAGCTCAACCAAATACCTGCTAAATGCTTTTGAAAACAGCCGAAATCTCTGAACTGAACCCTAACCCAGTTGGGGATCTTTTAACCCAGTCAGTGTACCTCTTGGGGCTCAGGTGGGAAGTGGACAAGTGCCTAATTCTAAGCGGAGATCAACGACTCGAAACTTTCTGTTTACAGACCTAGTTTATCAAACCAACTAATTGGAATTTGGAATTTGAACCGGCTAGGTGCCACAAATATAAGTGCTTGATCAAACAAGAAACACTCATTGCGAATTAGATATATTATTCACATATAATTGCCGATCATTTTGGTAATACTTGCTCCGATTCCGTGCAATTATTTTATTACATTTATCTAATACATCGTCTTGCTCCGATTCCGTGCAATTATTTAATTAAATTTATCTAATACATCAAGTCGCAGTGGCAATCCCTTTGGAGTGACAGCTCACTTGATTGACTCAACGCTCGATAATCTTCCAATTAATATTAATGATACCGCAGGCAAACTTATATAAGAAAGCAGCGACGGACTGATCAACCAACTCAAGCTTCGGCCAGATGGTGACCCGAAACTGTAAATCAGCCAAAGATATGCGTGTCCATTATTATTTATATATAACTTGACTATATACAAAAGACTATCTATAAACCATGAATAAATGAATAACTTAAGCCGTCCCAGTGAAAGCCTATTGACCCGCCGATCGCTTGACGACTGGCTGGATTGATCGGCTGAAATCGGCAGAGATTCTAGAGGGAGCTTCCCTTTTGTTTACAACCCCGTGGAGTGTTTGCCGACACTTAGTTCGGCTTTCTGCCACTGCAGTTGCCGCAAGTTGTTGACTGCAGTGGCCACTTGGCCGCTGTGCTGGCCGCTCCAACCAGTTAATGGTCATTCATCATGACAGTGACCGCTCTGCTGGCGCTGGCGCTGTAGCTTGGCTGCCGTTACTGCTGGAGGACGCCCTTGCCGCTCGCCGGCGGCAGAGACAGAACGCAGCGCGCTTTATTTAAACAAGCCTCCGTCTAGAATCTTGCAATACTTCGGCTTGGAGCTTGTAACGATTCGGAGGTGTCCGTCCCAGCTCAGCTCTGCTCCGCTCAGAAATTTCGCGTTCTTTTAGTGAACGGCACAAACGTGCAAACGCGCGCCAGTGATAAAATTTGGATCGTGAATTGAGACAGAGAATCGAAAAACAACAGAACACCTTAAATCGCACTTAAGTGGATTTTAATTGACGCCTTGTCGCGAATTGTCATCGGGTTTTTGGCTTTGGCTCCAGAGTTTTATGGGATCGTTAGCGGGAATGCATATATTACGCGGCTGGCTATGCCTGATGCTGCTGCTAGGCGCAGCGGGAAGTGAGTTCTGATCCCGATCCCGATATAAATCTTTTATCTGCAAGTGTCACTCCTTCTGCTCTTCAACTTCCAGTGCTCGTCTCTGGCCAGTACTTCGCCTATGCACCTGGTAAGTGCCAGCTTACTACATCGAATGTGATCGAGAGCATGTTCTCCACGGAGCTGCGCATCATCCTGCATACGAGACCCAACCTCCCACAATCGAAATTGCTGCACTATGACCTCTACACGCCTCTCAATCCGGAAGAGCGTCAGTTTCTGCGACCAGGAGATGTCAGCATGCTGAAGAACTCGCACTTTAATCCCAAATGGCCAGTGAGGTAAGGATATTAACGCCAATTATTGTTAAGATTTAAGAGAGATTTATAGTTTGTGTAAAAAAAAGTTAAGGCTTTAGGTAGAAAACATGATTTGTTTTATATGCAACTAGTAAACTATGTTATACGAATGTTTTGGATGGCTTTACAGGAGAAGTGGAAATATATGTTAAATAAAACAGTCATGGCAATTAACTGATAGTCCCATTAAATAAATATTTATTTAATTACGTAATATAAGTATTAGCATGTCAGGGATCAAGCATCATCCAGTTGATGTATAGACTCAACAAATTAATTGATTACTCGATTATTGCTAATTATCCAACTTCCAGTTATATACATATTTACATACTACATCAGGAAAACAAGTATATTTTATTTCCTGGATTAATAATACAATTAAATGAGCACATTGGATTTATAGTAATAAAATAATTTAATTAAATCCCGGCTTGAAAATAATATTAATTGAGCTATAGGTACAAAAGGCAAAGCAAATGCATGTAGCAATAAAATATCTTATTTATTTATACTTTTTCTCAGCAAAGACATATAAGAGATACATAAACACTTTGGTTAAGTTTTCCTAAATATATATTTTTTTTTACAAGATCCTAATTTTGTATACAATCCATACTTTCTCAGGGTCCTCATCCATGGCTGGGCAGGCATGAGCACAACCTGCTCGAATGCCGTCCTCAAGGATGCCTACTTATCCCGCGGCAATTACAATGTCATCATCCTGGACTGGAGTCGTCAGGCGATGGACATTAACTATGGACGCGTTTCCAAGCAACTGGCATCGATAGCCGGCAACGTGGCCAAGTTGCTGAGGTTTCTTCACGACAACACAGGAATTCCCTACGAGCAAATCTATTTGGTGGGCCACAGCGCCGGCAGTCACATCTCCGGGCTGACTGGGAAGATGATGAAGCCCTTCCGCTTGGGCGCCATCTTCGCCCTAGATCCCGCTGGACTCACCCAACTAAGCCTGGGACCCGAGGACCGACTAACCAACGACGACGCACTTTATGTGGAGTCTATCCATACGGATTTGACGCTCTTGGGTAATCCCAGCACCAAGCTTAGCCAGGCCTCCTTCTTTGTCAACTGGGGCCTGGGACAACCGCACTGTCCGAACGCCACGGCCACGGAATTTGACTTTGTGTGCGACCACTATGCAGCCGTGTTCTACTTCGCGGAGTCAGTGCGTCGGCCCAAGTCGTTTGCCGCCGTGCGCTGCAGCTCGGCGCAGGCGCTGCGCTCGGCCACCTGCAGCTGCAACAACGGCGGTGGCAGCCAGATATGCACCGGCGACGAGTTCATGGGCGGTGAGCCGGCGGTGCCAAAGCGAGGTATCTTCTATCTGAGCACACGACAGCGATCTCCGTACGGCACCGGCGATGGCCTGGTCTACATCCGGCGACCGATACCGTCCACCATTAGGGAGACGGCGAAGCGACGCCGACGACTAGGGTAAACGGCACGAGCAAGTAATGCGAGTTGCGAGCGACCAAAAAGTGATTTATCTACATTTTAAGACATAGCCATTAGCCCAAAGAATGCGAATAAAGCAAAGTGATTTCGTAAAAATAACATACTATATTTCAATTGAAAATCGAATTTCTTGCTAGTTTCTGAAGAAAAGTTAAGCCTTAACTGATCAAGACTTTACCACCTGTGTTACCATTACAAAAATCACATATTTAGCCCAAAAAAAAAATAAACTAGAGCATTCCCCAAGCCCAATCCGTTCCTTGATCAATTTCAGCTTTTGATTAGGTTGCCCTTCTTGGCACAGTAACTATTGAACGTGCTAATGTCAATGTCAACGCATCGGCGGTTTAACCGACTAATTACGCGTGAGTAAAACCAATTAGTTGGGAGTTGCCTTCAAAAAGTAGCGATTAATCTTATAGGAACGTGAGAGTAAAAAAATAACAACTTGATGGTGGGACAAACAACAGAGGCGTTGCCAATAAAACTGGTTCAACGACTGTGGTAATTGCAAAATTAAATATTAACAAATATTTTGCTGAAAACCTGTCGCTGCCTATTCTATTAGAATGCATTAAAAAAATAGGTAACAACATACACCAATGGAATCTCTGGCACTTGCATCTTATTAAATAATTTACGTATTTTATGAAAGTAAATTAGTTAACAAGACTGGGATTAAACCAATAAACAAGAAGAATCTTTAGAAACATTAAAAAAAAACAAAGCAGTGAAGGAAAATATACATATTTATTTATATTAAAAATTGTATGCATACAATTAAACGATATTTTTGATATCGATTGATTGAAGGATAATTATAATTTTTACCGATCGAACTTTTTTCCTCAATATATGTATGTATAAGCATCCCTATCTTAAGGTGATTAAATAATTTGCATGATTTCTTTAGGAAATAATATATGGGGAACAAATTACTCAAAGGTAACTCCAAGGTACTCAAAGGTAACTCGTTTTATTCTTAGCTATAAGGGCATACTAATCAACCATTCTGAACTCACCTGGCTAGGCCCAATGCGATAGGTAGCCACATCCAGCTCATTAACAGCCAATATCTGTTCCACGCTCACATCCTTGTTGCTGGCCAAATCGCCTGCCAACAGGCCAAAGCGGCGGACAAACTCCAATAATGGCACAGATTCGGGAAAACCAAGCCGATGCAGACGAGCCGCCTCCAAAACTTGCGAACCACGTAGCTGATAGGTAAAAAATAATGAAATAATTTAATACATTGATACAATTGATTTTAAATACATTCTTAAGCAATTTGTTATGCTATGAGCTCTCACCTGACTCCTTAACAGTGGCACATTGACCATTTCCTCCTCACTGGTCGCCTGGCCCACTCCTGAACTTGGAGACCCATTCGCCGTGAACTTGGTGTGCTTGCCGGCATTGTGTTGCAGCAGATAGCAGTGGACAAAGTGAGTGCCGGTGCGGCGCAGCGTATCAATGATGCCGTCCACTGTGAACTTCACCTGCAGCATAATGGAGTTGCGTTTCACTCCAGCCGTGGTGAAGGATCGTCGTATACTGGACACGCGACGCAGAGACTGAGTGCCCTCCAAGCCGGCAAAGGAGCCGCAAAATACCATTGCCCCCGATCCACGGGTAAGTGAGCCAATGTATAAACGATTGATCTCCTCCCGACTGCTGTCCTGCAGCAGTGACACAGCATTACGAATGCCGGGATGCTCACGACTGTTGCGCACCCAGCCATCGACGGCGTACAGAACGGGATTGGTGCCCTGCAGGTGGTGGAGCACAAACTGGCGAGGACCGGCGCATTTGCGCAGAAGCGTGTGATGCTCCCGGTCACCGTAGTGCGAGAACAAACGCTCGAGGAATGTGTCGTCGTTGGAGTGCGGATAGATAGCTTCTTCGTCGAGCAGCCTGAAAAAAATCGGAAATTTAATAAGACTTCCTTTCCGATGATGAATTTTAACCCACCAAAGCATTCCGCGACGATCGTGTTCCCGTAAATCTCGCTGCGAAGAGCGGACCACGTGGTTTTGGGGTGCCTTGTCGATCAGCGAGATCAGCGGTCCCGGGTGACACTCTGAGGCCTGGTCCATCTCAATCTCAACCAGCTCCTGAGCGTAACGGTCGCGCGGGGCCACAAGCGTGGTGTGATGGAAGAGCATCTGCAGGCGCTCCTGCAGGTAGTTGTGACGCAAGTCAGCCAGCGTGGCGCCCACCTGCTGGCCACAGCTGGCCGGGTTCTGAAAGCCGGGCGTATCGATTAGCATAATCGAGGCTATGGTGTGGGCCGAGGTGCAGATCTGTCGATTGACCAAAGCCACCACTGCAGCCAGTGCCTCCGAATAGAGTCCAATGACCAACGCCTCCAAGCACTCCCAGGCCCACTCGTGGCCAGTGTCCGAAGTGGGCGACTTCGATGGACTTAGGCCGCCATTGGGCGCATTCGGCTGTGTCAATCCAAAGGCAGCCGATGACAGATCCTCCAGGTTAACGCCCAAAAGACCCGCCGCCTTGCGGGCGGCCGTGGGATTTGCAAATTGGGTGCGGGCTGTGGATCCAGTGCCTAGTTTGGTCACACCCGCAATGCCCAGATGATAAATGGCCGCCAGAATGCTCCAGATTCCGCGCACAGCCTTCGCATCAATGTTGAGCGTTTCGAAGGCCTGAACTGTGCGCATAAAATCGTTAGCAGCTCGGTGGCGATCTTCCAACTTCTGGGAGAGCGATATGAACGGATGGCTGTCCTCCGAGGAGATGTTCTCCAGGTGCAGCTCTTTTTGCAGCAATCCAGCGGCGCCAGCCAGCAGGCGCGTCATAATGTGGAAGCTGTGCTCGTGGGCCAAGCGTCGACCGGCTCGCTGTCGCTCTGGGAGCAGAACCTTAAAATCCCAAAGTATTAGCAGCATTCTAAGCCTGGAATTGGATTCTGACTAACCTGCAGCGAGGCGGATGCAATCTGTCCAGTCTGGTCAAAGTCAAGACTCAACAGCTGCGTCATTCGGGTAGCGTTCGAGTTGAGGCAAGTTCTCGTATTTCCAAAGGCCTCCAGAATGGTGCACAGGGCATTGACCTTCTCGGCGTTAATAAAGTTGTTGTAGGCACCTAAAAACATATCATATAAATTGAATAAGGGTTGTTTTGATTTCTTTTTAGTTCGATTGTCTTTTGTGAAACATCTGTTGGTAAAATTAAATGGCATATTAATTTAAATTTCTTTTGTTGAAGCCTGGAGGAATTTTTTAATTCAGAGGTTGACATATAAAAGGTGGCAGACAATATTTTTATATTGATACTGCATTTATAAATTGATATCTTAGCGTTGAGAAACATGAGCTTTAAATAGGTATTCTGTTTGATATGTGTATATTTTTATAGAATCAAAAACCGCTGAACTCAAATCCGAACTCAGAAAAATTCCTATTCTTCAGGTTTTCAAAATATTTTAACTTAAAAGTGCAGAAAATACAGTTTTGGGTACTTTTTTTAAGGTGCTGTAACTTCAATACTATTTATTTTTTTATGCCGGACTTTTCTTCTCAATATACATTCCTACATCTTTTGTATAATATATTATGCACCTTATTTCTAGGCTGATAATCTGCCTTTAAAACTGTCAACTTATTTTGGTTACTCATAGCTTTTTTATTTAATTTATAATTTTCTGATTTAAATATATGATGGTGCCTAATTTTCATCGGCAATATGTGTTGGGTAATCGAGTTGAATATCAATAATATTTATCTGGGCAATTTACATTTTCCCTGATACCGTCAGTTCCCCTTTCTGGGCCATAAATCTAACAATGAAACCGAATTGGGGGCTTGACTAATTGCAGCTGCATTTCTTGGCCAACAATGCAAATGAGACAATCGAACGCAGATTGCATTTTGGTGTGGCACCGCGCAAACTGGGCCAGCAGCCCGCAGCCTACGGCCAAAAGGAAAACACAAAATGTAAACAGAAAATGCAACTGCAGCAGCAGCTCCAGCGCTCCTACGAGCTGCTACGTCGAATGCGGCTAGACATACCAGCTGCCAACGCCAGGTAGTTGAGCGCATGCTTGAAGCTGGTGGATTTGCCAGAACCAGATCGGCCCATGAATATCAAGCTCTGGTCGCGCCGCGTCTCAACCAAGCTCCTGTAGGCGGTCTGGGCCAGCGAGTAGACGTGGGGCGGCATGTCCTCCGTCTTGCAGCCGCGGAACATGGAGACAACCTACGAACGGGAGACAGCAGCCGATAAATAACGCGCTCAGATGCAGATCTGGTTGCCAGACCAGTTACCTTCTCGGAGTAGAGGGACAGCGGTGCCATGGGATTGACCACGAGCAGCGTGGGCCCCGCCTTGGTGTGGATTAGATTGCTGGCGTAACGCTGGCGCAGGCAGTGGAGCACCGACGCCTCGTTCAGATACTTCAGCTCGCAAATGTCCTCGGCTAGGTCCAGGATGGGGCTGTTCTGTTTCTCCACATCGTCCTCGTCGACGGTCAGCAGCTCCCCGTTGTGCAGGAGGCGCAGATTCAGCTTGTGTTCGTCATCCCGCCCAGACGAGGGCGTCGGCAGACGTATGGCGGCAGTGAAGCCACCGCGATGCACCAGCCACACACGCTCCGGCTGACTGGCATCCGCCACATCCGCCTCCAGCTCTAGGGACACTCCTTCTCCTGATTCGCCTCCTGCCACTCCATTGCCATTCTCGTGGCGGCTCTGCAAAAAGATGGAAGACAAACAAACAAAACACGAAATTTGAGTTAAATTGGGGTCAACATTTTGTCGGCGCAACTTCAACTGAAGCAGCAGCAGCCGCAGCGAAGGCGGTGTGGGGTGCACATCGAGTTTATTTACGGATCTCGGCGTGGATCGGGAAACATTTTCACGCATTTATTCCATTTATTATCCCTACTCCACTACCGCAGGCAGAAGGCAGCAGGCAGAGTTTCGGTTTATTTCGGGTGCATTTCTAAATTTGACGATGTTTCTAAATCCTAATTAGCCGCCTAGACGCGCCAAATGCTATTGGGCTAGACAGCCAAACCGACGACGACGCGGATGCGCCATTATGCAACCCACCAACGTCGCGTCGTCGCCAGTTCACATTTGTGGCTATAAATGGCATTTAGCCGTAGCGGCAGTCTCCCAAGCTCACTGAGATCTCCTCCCTTCTGCTCGTAGCCTGCCTCCAGATCTCCCTCTTCCTCCTCGTCCTCGCTAGTTCTTCTGCCGAATTATGAAAATATTGTGCAAGGTTCAATAGCCCTCAATTAGGAGTGCGATTCGGGGAAAGTGTGCGAGGGGAACTAATTAATTTTGTAGACATTGCGAGAGCCGGCGGATCGGATAGAAGGAAATCGAATGTAGTCTTTCATTAGGCTCTTAGTCACTTTAGTTTTATGGGTCGTTTCGAAATGGTTGTTTACAGATTTGTAATTAAATGGCAGAAAGAAAGATGTGGAGTTCTGGCGTTAGTTTAGCCCATATGATTTATGAATAGATGAGATTTTAGGGTAATTTCCTAAATGATTTATACTTAATATACAATATTATTCCAATCCTCTTTACATTTAAATATAATCACATTTTACAGACGCTATAATTGAAAATATTTACCATTCCTCATAGTCTGGTAAACACTCGTAAAATAAATACAGTTTAAACGGCAGACACCCTTGAAACTCATTGTTTAAACGAAGTCATTACTCCACTTAACTGTAACAACTGAGTTATGTCTAGTTATTCGAGATTCATTTGATGCGTTGGACCCGCTTAAAAATTTTCCAACTGGGGCACCGAGTCGTCTATTCACAGCCAGCGAACACACTCATCAATCGAGTGGAACTTGTTTGGAGGAATATTAAGATAAACAAAGTAGTTCCCCGAGCGCATGTCCACTGTCAATCAATGCCTGCACTCACTCCACTGTGCGACGAAGTCAACGAACCCGCAGCTGTTGATGATGATGAGCACACAAATTAGACGCAGAAGAGGTGGAGGCAGCACAGGCCGAGGCATCAGAAGACCTGACTAATTAAGTTGGATAGCGGATAGGATAAGATTGGAGCTTACCAAAAGCTACTTCTACTACCGTCTGGATTTCATATTCAGCTATCTTTTACTGCATTATGCAACCCAACTCCATCAGAACTCTAAAGAGGCGGCCACGCCGCGTCGCTAACTCGGAGCTAAATGAACACTTCCGCTCAGCGGCTTCGCAGGCGTATTGAGCCATAAAGCCATACCGCCATAAATGCAGCGACAAGACGACGTAGACCGAACGAACCATGCCGTAAATTATGAGCTTCGCATTCGTCGGCCCACGCACCGTCGTCCGAGCATAATAATAAAAGGTCTAACAACTAAATCGTACATTGGGTCATGGTCTGGCGATCTATCGATCGATCGGTTCGTTTCCATCTTTCTTCGGCCGCCCCCCGCTTGGGTTTGTCCATTCATTTGTTTTTTTATTGCACCCATCGAAGTACTAGAAAGTTTTCGTTGGCTATCAACGCGCTTAAAGCACTGGCCAACCTGAATGGGAACCGTTCTTGTATAAATTGTGTTTCTTCTTAAGAAAACTAAAGTGTTTTCCACCAGATTTAGTTTCCAAAATAAGGCTGAAAACAAGGCTAAGAATGAATTAATATTTTAGAGAACATCCCAATCTCTTTCAATCAACTCCCTTCTTGTATCAAAAACAATGATAATCCCTGCAGCTTAGTGTAGTTCTTAATGCGCACCTTTTGCTTGACGATGGCATCGTAGTTTTTGTAGTTGGCGGCCAGGGAATTGGCCCAAACGGTCGGCCATTGTAGGCCAATGTTCTGGGCATCGCGTCGTCGGCGGAACGAACTCCTTGCACTTGGATTGGGCGACTGCGGGGCACTGGCAGCAGCGGCGGCATACTTGGACGCAGCTACGGCGGAACTGTTCCACGGCGGACGAATCGAAGAGGATGCGCCCGGGGAGACCTTAGGCTCAGCTTGCTTGACACCGTTGCTGCCCCGGAAGCTGAGCGATCTTTTCGTGGAACGCTCAAAGATTGGTGTAACTGGAGCCTGTGGTGGAGATGTTGCAAGGGCAGCGGCAGCTTCCTTAGCTTTAGTGGCCGCCAGGCGAGGCGGTTTCGGTGGCGGAGCAGATGTGGGAACGGGTGCCGAGGAGCAGGAGGGCCAGCTGGTGGAGTTCTCCGAGCCACTCTCGCTGATCGTCTCCGAGCTTATGCTGTTCTTACGCTGAGCCTTGGGCGTCTGTCGGCCGCCTGCCTTGGAGCCCGTTCCAGATCCTCCTGCTGGTGCTGCTGACGCAACCCTCTGGGACTTGCTGGTGCCGCAGGCGTGCGCCTTGCCCGTGCAACCCTTGTGGAAGGAGGGATTCAACCCGGATCCCGGGGCAGCAGGCACAGCCGGAACGATGCCGCCGCGCAGCGTCTGCTCGAAACTTTTGGGCTTAAGGAACATGGCTGTTATGCGATCACTGGGCACACGCAATTCTCATGGCCAGCCCGCGGAGCATGACCAGAGCAAACAGAAACAGATACAGATGCAGGCACAGATACACCGATGCGGATACAGGTACAGGCACCGATGCGAAGACACACAATAGCCAGAGTCTGAAGCGGAGCGGGAAGTAGACGACGATTGGGTAACTGGAGCGCCCGCGGAACCTTGGAACTGGCTGGCTTTATGTGGCCGGAGCACTTAGCGCTTTGACATTAGACAATTGCGCGACTGAAAACGGCCAATCATCGGTCGATCGATCGATGGACCACCGAACTGACTTGGCTGACTGATTGATTGCACTGCAAGACTCTAGTCACGAACGCGATGGAGTCGACGGCGCCAGCGAGTTATGAATTAAAGCCGTCCAGACCGAGTGACAGCCAGAATCGTCATGGCACACAAAACACTAAAATCCACTTCGGCAGCAATAGCAGTACTACAACTGGTAACAACATCGAATTTCACCGTGGGCGTCGCGCAGTCTTTCCTCGACTTCGATTTCCGTACCGAACCTGGGCAAAGTTTTCAGCGTACTGACGGCCCTGCTCCAAGCGCAGCGACTGCGGACCGTTCGACAACAACACACACCGCGAGCTGAGACGAAACCAAAAACAAAAACAAACCCAAAGACAACGATAACAACAACAGAAAAGAAGCACAGACGAAAACACACTCGCAGTCAGCCACAGCAGCAGCAGCACCAACCAGCGTCGACAGCGATGTCGCTGCTTCAGCGGCGGCCTCTGCCCATGATAGTACGCGGTAGCAGAAAGAGAACCTGGGTATAATGGTACCAGAACTGGATAACTTATTGAAGATATCCTGGAAAGACTTGCCAACCTCCCCCTAACTAGTATGTCGCCCCTTAATACGTCCCAGATTTCATAATCTTGTTGGAATTTCAGACTTTGATTTAGTATAATTTTCTATATAAATATTACAAAATATTTGTGAACCTTATGGAAACTTCATTTCCTGAATATAATATATATTATATATATATAATCATCCTTTTATCTCCTTTAATATGTCAGTTAAAGTTTTAATTTGTATCTAAGAAAAAAAAAGGGCTTGGTATCCGTTAGTCGGGACACTCACCCCCTAAAGTTCCTACATGTTTTGTTGTGGCTTTGCCTTTTATTTGTGTAGGCAGCTCCAAGTGGGTGTAGAAATGCACACACAGCTGCAGTCGCAGTCGACGCTGCAGCTGCTGTCGGCGCTGGCTGCGCAGCTGCTTCGTGCTTTGGCCAAAGGCGATCTCATGGATCGTGGAAATCCATGGATCGTCGTCGTCTTTTGGCTGCTGCTGCTGCCGCCTCTGCTGGCATAAAATGCATAAAGTGCATATCAAATGCAGTTCGAGTTTTTCCGCAGTGTTGCCAAATCGGTTTGGTTTTATTTTCGTCTTCTTTCTTCAATGGAAGCGAGTAAGGCGCTGAAATATGTCAACGTCTTGACACCACCCCCAACCGTGCAACTACAAGCACTAAATATTTATAGAAGGGCCGGGCTGGGCCAGGTTAGGCTGGATAGGTAACATAGATAGATGGATACACACACAGTTAGATCAACAGCCTGCGCTGGGGACCATATTTCACAATATTTGTGCAAGTTAAACACGGCGAGAAAATGTCAAACACGTTTCTAGCATAGACAACAAGTCAATAAGAATTGCAGTCGATGATTAGATGAATGGGGAAATAGACGATTATCAAATGCTCTTAAGCCACTTGCTAAAATATGTATCTCAAATTACAACAAAAAAATCAAATAGTTACAGTACATTTCCAACTCCCCAGATGCTAGGAACCCAAAATTCAAGTATGCTTCTAGAAAAGTATAGTCAAAAGTCGCATAAGGAAAACCTTCCAATAACAGAATAGTACTACTAATTGGAGAATTGTACTTACTACGAGACATTCTCCGCTTTAAAGACCTCCATTCAACACAACAGTAAATGAATCATATTTAAAGAGCTTAATAAATAAGCAAATATTTGCAATAAACAGGAAACGGCCTTAAAACTCCATTAAGATAACTAATTTTTGATCCATTTTTGCCAATAGGAAATCTTTGGTCAATACAAATTAGATTCTTAGCTATGTGGAGATCAATTTACAGATGATTAATAATCCCTGCGTTGCACCTGAGCTTCTCATACATAATTGATCGCAGTCCGATACATACTAATGGATAATGCAGTGGTTATGCAAGTATAGCCTCAAGGTTTGGTTCACTGCAAGGCGATGACGAGCAGGTAAGCTCCATCAATTACACTCTAATGGATGCGATGTTCTCGACTCACCTGACGCTTGAAGCGCTTGCTGGCACTGCGCCGGAGGGTGTTGCAGTTGCCATTGGTAATGGAATGATCGATCTCCTCCACGGTAGCCGTGCTGGGTGCCATGCATCGCTTGCTTAGCTCCACCAGCTCTGCAACTGGTTGGACCTGGGCGGGGGAAACAAAAGTGACATGAGTACGGGCCAATAATGAGCTTAGAATAAAGTACTTATATTAGTATCTAAAGTCCAAATAATTCCTTTCCATTTTAATTTTATATTCTCTTTAACCTAAAGTAAAGTTCAACGAACTGTTAGGTGTACATACCTCGACGGTGACAGCATCACCGCTGTTACGTATTAGCTCGATGATGATCTCCCGCGACAGCTCGCCCACTGGCGTTCCGTTCACCTTGATAAGGCGATCGCCGGGCAGGAGACCCGTGGCACCGCCACCAGCACCTGGCTCGGCAAAGATTACCGGCCTGAAAATGGGCGATGTTAGCGACTCTGTACGGTCCAGGCAGATTGCCTTCCGCAGGCTGAAGCCAAAGTCCTGGCGTGGCGACTTTTGTCGCCGAATCACCAGCTGTCTAGGAGGCGGCAGCTGCACCAGTTTCACCGGCGGAAGCGGCAGCTCCACATCTTCAAAGGCATGGACACGGGCCCAACGATCGATGCCCTGCGACTCACCGACCGGACTCAGTGAGAAGGGAGGCGTGGCGAACGAGGAGTTTGTGGTATCTGTGAGACTGTCGGCGCTGGGCGACGGCGAGGTGAGCACATGGAGGTGCGATCCCGGGCTATTCGCATGGGGCGCAGCACCATAGCGAGCGTTGGCCGGCAGGGTCATGGCCCGCTGATGGCCGCCTGTTTGCTCGCCATCGCTTCGTAGGCTCTCCACGGAGGTGAAGGAGGTGCCGTGCTGGCTGGAGTTAGAGCCAATCGAACCGGCTGCACCTCGTGCAGGGCCCTCGTAGAGCAGCTCATTTTGCATGGTGTTGCGCATGAGCATCTCTGGTGTGCCGCCAGCTGCCCCGGTGCCGCCTGTGAAGGAGATCTCCTCGTGCACATTGGTCATGTTACTGCGCGAACCCTTTAATATGCCGCGTTTGGGCGGTTTCGGCGGCACAGGAGGCAGGAAGCGATTCTATAATGGAGGAATAGGAGTTATTACTGCGGTACCTTGGCAGAATTTGGGATAATGAACTCACCTTGAGCCCACCGGCAAGTAGGGAATGCGTGACCTCGCTGTAGTTGACACTTACGCCGGTGCCGTTGGACGCCCGACTCTCGATATGCGTCATCACAGATGCTACAATCTCCTCATTGCCGCGATCCTGTTCCGGGCCACCGGAGCCTCCAGCGGTAGCTCCTCCGTTGCTCCCAGTGCTGCCATTGCCCGTGGCGTCGGCATTTAGGGCGGCAAAGAAGTCGGCACTGTAGTCCGCCGTAATGCCGCTGGGCAGCTTCTCCTTCTCCTTGCGCCGTCCGCGGATCTTAAGGGAGCGCCGGACTTCATCCAGGCGGAGCAGTTCGTCGGTGCTCATGCTGCCGGTGACGCCGCCGACTCCTCCGATGCCGGTGCCGGGGCCAGTGCCCTTAGCCTCTTTGCGCAGCTTCTTCTCCCGCTTGCGGCGCTCCTTCTCCTCGTCGCCGGCGCTCTTCTTCATAAAGTTGAACATCGTGTGTGGCGTGGTGTGGTGCGGGGGTTGGGTCCTTAGGAGCTATCCAACTAGAGTGGTCAGGAATTAGCACTGGGTTAACGTAAAGTTCAAGGGCGTGACCAAAAGTCTGCGCTAATTCGATTTGCGATGTTCTCCCTCTGCCACTCTCTCTCTCTACCTCTGTGGTCTGCTTTTCTCTCTAGCTGTTTGCCATCTCTATCTAACACTCGGCGCAGCGAGTGCCGAGCAATGCACCCGCCCGCACAAAAACAGTTATCTGGTTCTCTGTATGTATGTGTGAGTGCTGCACATTTGCAAATCACAACGTATAAACAATGGCACATATTTTCTTCATTTCAACATTTCTTCTTCTGCTGCGGTGGCGGCTTTGCTTTTGTCATTGAGTCGTTGCCATTTGCCCTGTTTCTGTTATTATTTATTATTCAATTATGCGCTTTCTTTTCTTTTCCACTTCCCCACCATACATATTATGTTTTGTTTTCACACAGCCCACACTCACACTGGTACACGAAAGGGGGCTCGTAGCTGCATTTGTATTGATTGCCCCAGACTCGTCTCCCTCTCTCGCCTTACTCCCCCTTACACATCTTTTCTCGAATTGAATGTTTCTTTTCCTAATTGAATGCACTCGCCTCATTACTTATGCCACTCCAATTGCTCTAGTCGGCGGACCACGGCCCACAAATGATACACACGAAAGGCAGAAAAAAAGAAAGTTGGGAGTCAATAACACCTTTGTTTTTGCAGTTTTCTACGCCTTTTTTGATAACACACAAACACACCCGCACACAAACACACATCCGCGGGCAGCCAGATTTGTTTATTCCAGAGTGGCAGGCGAGGCTCTCCCTTCCAATCGATTCGTGCGTTCTTCACCTTTCGTTTTTTTGCCACTTGAGCAGTTCGCAGACTTGCTTTTCTTTTTTTTAAACAGACTTCGTTCTGCATAAACAAATCAGCGAGCAGTGTGACCAAACCACCAACACTTTAGTAAAACCGGCAATCTGCGATGGGAAGAGTGGGAAACTCAGCTAGGAACGTCGTGAATCGATTAACTGAAATTTGTAAATTACATTTTTTATCGAATGTTGTATCGAATATAGTTTTTTGTACTTTTCTATTTGCAAATTAATTAATTGAATAATAACAACCCTCAAGGATTTAAAAAACGCAGATACTGGTGTGGACTATCCGAATCTTGGATTGTAATAGATAAAATGAGAACTGGCATAGAAATAAAGCCAAGTCAAGAGAAATTGAAAAAAAAATTGAAGACATAAATTATTATAAAAAAAATTAATATAAAGCCTTTAAAAAACGGGTACTTGCCATTAAATAATAAGCAAATTTTTCTTTATTGACAGAAAAACTGCCCGGTCTATTATACTTTCTATTACTGAAAATGAAAGATCGCTAATGAGAGTGAGTGGTGTCACCCGAAACAGTTTTGCAATAGGTAAGTTTTAAATATTTTGAATTTAACGGTATAAACAACCATTTCGTATTGTATTTTCGCAGCCCTGCTTTACGTTACGTTTTTTTGCTGCTATCAAGGCTTATTTCCACATCCAGGTACGGTCTCATGGTTTTTGTGTGAGATACGGGCACACTGCTTCGAGATCGAAAAAAAGTGAAGCGTAAAAACTGTGTTTATGAAAAATACATTTTCAATATTTGCATTTGCCTCACCGTCGCGTTGCGAAAACGTAAATCGCCAAGTAACGAGCCCCGGTCGCCGTTTTTCAGACTGAATTTGCCTCTGTTCCAGTGTGTGCGAGCGTTCGTCTGCGAGTGTTTTGTGTATGTGTGTGTGTGGTTCCGTTCCGTCCTCTGGTGTCTGGCACCTTAACACAACAACAACAAAAGCAGCAACAACACAACGCAGCAGCAACAACACACGCACAATAATAAGGCCCGTGACGTCGCTGCCGTCACCATCAAAAGCAAAAGACCAAAACGAGCAGAAAAACAAACAGCAGCAGCAGTAGCACAGCGCGGAATTGAAAGCAAAAGTCGCGTTCTTTTCGCAACCTAAACTTAGGTGGGTAAGAGTGTGCTTTTCCAGTTTTTCCGTCTTCGTTTTTCAGTTTTTCCCTGTCCACAATTTCCACGATGAACGACGTGATTTGACATGTTGCTCTGCTAGGTCGCCGCTGCCCACACACACAGACAATACATATACAGGCATATATACATGTATATATATTTATATACAACACTGCCGCAGTCAGACACCCACACAGGCAAACGGCCAGACACTCGCACCAATACACCTTAGCCGCTGTGGCAGACACGCGTACCACCACCCCCCTCGCCCACAGTCTGGCCTCGCACTTTGCAATGCAGCCATGTCTGTGGCCGTGTCTGTGTCTGTCACTGCGACTGTGACTGACTGCGGCTGTCTGTGTGTATTTTGTCGATTTTTATTTTATGTACATTTGTTTACAGTTTTAGATAGCGAAATTTGTACAGCCGTCGTTGACATTTTCGCAAATTGTAAATGAATATGCTTTTGCTTTTGCAGCTGTGTGTGAGTCGGTGTGTGCGCGCCGTGCCGAACCGTGCTGTGCGGTGCTGTGCGTGTGTGTGTACGTATATAAGTTCATGAACAGTCGCCGCCGTTGACTTGTTTTGATTTAATTTCGCGCTAAATGCAATCGCGAACAATTTTCGCTCGGTATCGCTGCGTAACATGGCGGGGAATTTCGTTTGAAGCTGAAAGTGCCAGCGGCTGGCGCCTACGTCTGCATGTGGGCCAGTGACTAAGAGGCGGCGGCCCTGCGAATCCCTTATTATTTGTCGTTTTTATATTTGTTGTACTTGTATTCACCCAGCGGAAATGCCGGGCATGTTTGGCTTTCGCCCTACTCTGCTCTGCTCCGCTAGAATCCCAGCTGCAGTTGCAGTTTCCATTGCTGACGCAAGCGCCAGAAAGGCGGATTTGTCATAAACATGCAAAATATGACAATAACAATAAAAATTGTTTACCAACGATCGGCAATCAGCCTGGGATAAGGGGAAAAACTCTGATAATGGGACTGTTTATATCTCTGATAGCTACTGGAGACACTTCACCCACCCCCTTTAAATAAGAATCCAGAAATAGCTTAACGGTTATTTTTAAAAATAAATCCCTTTTTTTAAATGTACAATAATTGCAAGAATAAAACGTTTTTTGGTCGGCACGAATGGCATGCATTCTATTCCAATTCCAAAGATATTTAACATCTCCTCTAATGACAATCTACCATTATGATTTCAGGCAACTGGATTCGCTTGTCCCTAGGATTTGTGCAACAGCCTCAACACGAATTACTTACCGTTTGCCCTACAGCGGCGATCAACTGTGGTTGCCAGCGCCGCCCCAGCGGCAGGTCCCGCCAACCGGCAACCGGAGACTCCATCGAGCACCAATAGCAGTAGGGCCATCAACATCAACAACAGCTTCCAAAGTAACCCAAACAGCAGCGGAGGAGGCGGCAGTGGTAGCAGCGGCGATCACCTCTTCTGGAAGCAGCCATCCTGGCTAGAGTCCAGCCCCGGCAGCGCGGACACAGGAATAATGTCGATGAACGCCCCCTTCACCACACCCAGCACCCCCAGCATGAGCATGAACTCGATGACCGCCATTCCTCAGCTGGTAAAGGAGGGCTGGCTGCTTAAACGGGGTGAGCACATCAAGACATGGCGCCAGCGCTACTTCGTTCTTCGCTCCGACGGCAGGCTGGAGGGCTACCGCAGCAGGCCGGCGGACAGCACGGCTGTTTCGGAGCCAGTGCTAAACAACTTCACGGTGAAGGGCTGCCAAATCATGACCGTGGATCGACCCAAACCATTTACCTTCATCATCCGCGGCCTGCAGTGGACGACGGTGATCGAGAGGACATTTGCCGTGGAATCGGAACTAGAGCGCCAGCAGTGGACAGAGGCCATTCGCAATGTATCCAGTCGGCTGATCGAAATGGGCGAGATGGCCATGTCGCCGTCGGTGCAGTCAGACATGGCTGACGTGGATATGGCCGGTATTGCGGAAGTAGAGCTCTCCGAGCAGTTCTCGGTGCAGGGCACCACCTGCAACAGCAGCGGCGTCAAGAAAGTGGTACGTATTAATTCTCTCTCTGTCTGTCGGTCACCGGCTAAGTGCGTGATCTAACTGACTCCTTATCTCATTGCAGACTTTGGAGAACTTTGAGTTCCTCAAGGTGCTCGGCAAGGGCACCTTCGGTAAGGTTATCCTTTGCCGTGAAAAGGCCACTGCCAAGCTGTACGCGATCAAAATTCTCAAAAAGGAGGTCATCATCCAGAAGGACGAAGTGGCCCACACCCTGACCGAGAGTCGTGTGCTCAAGTCCACAAATCATCCGTTCCTCATTGTGAGTAGATTGTTGTCCAATCCTTAATTAAGCTATAACTAATACCTGCCCTCATCTCTTTATCCTCCTTCCGCAGTCTCTTAAATATTCGTTTCAAACCAACGATCGCCTGTGCTTCGTCATGCAGTACGTGAACGGAGGAGAGCTATTCTGGCATCTTAGCCATGAGCGCATATTCACCGAGGACCGCACCCGATTCTATGGAGCCGAGATCATTTCGGCCCTGGGCTACCTGCATTCGCAGGGCATCATCTATCGCGACTTGAAGCTGGAGAATCTTTTGCTGGACAAAGATGGCCACATCAAGGTCGCCGACTTCGGTCTGTGCAAAGAGGACATCACGTACGGTCGCACAACGAAAACTTTCTGCGGCACACCGGAATATCTAGCGCCGGAAGTATTAGACGACAATGATTATGGCCAGGCTGTGGACTGGTGGGGCACCGGCGTGGTCATGTATGAGATGGTGAGTCACCTTAGTCACTTTATATCTTGTTGAATTTATATTGACATCGGATTACCCTCTGTTTTTCCAGATCTGTGGTCGTCTTCCGTTTTATAATCGTGATCATGATGTGCTTTTTACATTAATTTTGGTCGAGGAGGTCAAGTTCCCACGCAATATCACAGATGAGGCGAAAAATCTGCTCGCCGGTCTGCTGGCTAAGGATCCCAAGAAGCGTCTGGGAGGTGGCAAAGATGATGTTAAGGAGATACAAGCACATCCCTTCTTTGCGAGTATTAATTGGACAGATCTAGTCCTGAAAAAGGTAATAGCGTGGCTTACCTTTCCGTTGTATATTCAGTTCCTAAACAATATTTATCCCAATAGATACAGCCGCCTTTCAAGCCTCAGGTGACATCCGATACGGATACAAGGTACTTCGACAAGGAGTTCACGGGAGAGAGTGTGGAACTAACGCCGCCGGATCCTACCGGGCCGTTGGGCTCCATAGCCGAAGAGCCGCTTTTCCCGCAGGTAAGGCAACAAGTTCGCAGCTCATCGCTCACACGATTTATTTATTTTTGTCTTGCTTTCGCCGCCACAGTTCAGCTACCAAGGAGACATGGCCTCCACGTTGGGCACCTCGTCGCACATTAGTACTTCCACAAGTCTCGCATCGATGCAATAGAACAAGTTTACAAACTTTAACAAGCACACATCATGTTCTGCTTCATCACCTATAACTATACTATACCTATAACATATATAGAAATGGGAAAAAATAAGAAAAGCAAGAAAATATTAAACAATAATTATACGATGATAACGAAGGCAAGCTAAAGGGTTTTCTTGCTATACGTTCTACAAACACCAATAATAAGAGGAATCCAATCGATAGTAACTTATTTTTTCATAACTAGAAAGGGAGAACGAAGCCGAGGAAAAAGTTTACAACATATGATTATACACATATACATATATATATATACATCTAAATATAACACTTGGGGCATCGAGCTTGAAGTGATTAGTTAATCTTAAACGCAAGTAAAACATTTAATCAAGCTGCTCCCAGGCGGTACGTCAGATGGAAGGCAGGCGTCGCAGGCATCGCACGCATAAGGCCCGCTTAATCTGATTGATTATACAGAGCAACATATACACGGCACTCA